TGCCTTGCTCCTGCCCAGGTCTAGTATTCTCCCCACCTCACCCCACCCCCAGTTCCTCCCTGGGCTGTGGCATGTGCCCTTCAGCAGGGTGCTCCTCTGCCTTGTCGTCCTCCCTCCATCCGCAGGGCCCCACCGAGGCAGCCCCTGTTATCTGCTCCCACATGCCTCGGCCACTGTGCACGTCCTGGACCCCTAACACGAGACTGTAGAAGCCTCACTGACAGCCGTGCTCTGCACTAGATGCAGACAGAGAAATGGGAGGCACCACGCTTGTGTTGTTTTCTCTGTAGCCTCAGATCTCGGCCCCGTGCACACAGGGCCACGTGTGACTGGTGCCGCGTTTGAATCTTTGTGTCTCCAAAATTTACATGTTGAAACCTAATCACCAGAGCATTAGTACTAAGAGGTGGAGCCTTTAAGAGGTGATTGAATGGTATTAGTGATGTTATAAAAGAGGCTTGAGGGAGCCTGTGTTTGTCCCTTTTGCCATGTGAGGACACACAAAAGGTGTCATCTGTGAAGCAGAGTGAGCTCTCACCAGACAAGAAATCTAGTGACTCCTTGATCTGGGACTTCCCAGAATCTGAAACTATGAGCAACAAATTGCTGTTATTTATGAGAGTCCACCCAGTCTAAAGTCTCTTATCACTGCAATGCAAATGGACTAAGACAACTAGCCAACATGGAAAGTCAAGGTTTAAGTGCCAACACTGCACACTACTTGCTGCATGACCCTGAATAGCTACTTAGTCTCTCAGTGATGCCCGTGTCCTCTGTTTCAAACGGGGTCACTAAAAAACGCTTCCCAGGGTGTTTAAAGTAAGTGAAGAGATGCCCCAGGACAAGATAGCTTTGAGATCATAGCAAGATGATAGAGTGTGTCTGTTTTCCAGGGATTTGCAATTGCAATACCACTTATGCAGCTCAGACATTGTGAAATTGGCTTTGTCCTCCGTAAGTCCTTGCCCCGGTCAGAACAGAACAACTGTCAGGTCTCTGGAGGCTAGATGACCTCCGTTGAAAGGCACTAGGGATACTGACCTGTTGCAGAAACCTCAGAGACAAGAGGCGGCCTGTGGATTGGGGCTTTGCCTATGCCAAAGATCCCACAGGGGATCCAAGTGAGCCCCTCCTGGCCCTCATTCTAGAGGGTAGGAAGTAGCAGTCTCCACCCCAGAGGGCATCGTGGCCGATGCAGCTGTATGTCCCACATGAGTGAGACTTGCCTGCTTTTTCCCGCTGCCTCTCCGCTCCCCACCCCTCTACCCTCCAAGGGTCCCAAACAGCAGAGACTCAAAGCAGAAGAGGAGGGAGAAGGAAAAGACCAGAAGCTGACAATGTGCCTGTCCTTACTTCTGATTTCTCAGTCTGACGTGGGACTGATGGGGTGAGGGAGATTTAGGTTTGACAAGGGTCTGGGGTTGGTTTATCAGAATGTCTGGACTTCTGATGACTTGAGTCTTACCAGGAGAGAGGATGTTTCCTGAGCATGGCCAGGGAATATTAACTATTCTTGTGTAATACTTTGGTCAATTACCAGGGAACACCATGCGTCCCTCCTGGAGCAGTGTCACAGGGGGCAGATGAGGAGGAATCAGGTTGCTTTCAGTGGTCCCAGAGAAGATTCCTCAGTTCATGATCTTGCTTCACTCTTCTTGTTAATATATTGAACTTTCATGACAAAGGTGAAAAAGCTGAGACGTGGGGGGGAAAGACGGTGGGCCAGAAGCAGCCCCCCGGCACACCACTCTCAAGGAGAGGGTGGTGAGCTGCAGGTAGATGTCCACCTATGGGTAGATTTTCTCAGGAAAAACATTGTGAAGCCACAGAGACGCAATGTGAGACACTTGGAATCAAGGAGGTGATGGGGCGATTCATTTGACGATATCGAAGGGATCTACAGGGAGGCATCTACACGTGGGAAGATTAGGAGGGTAGAGTGCTGGGGCACCATGCTCACCCCACAGGCACTGTGGCCCAAGTTGTGAGGGGGCTCCCTTCACTGCCACAGACCTCTGGACTGACCCAGGAGCTGCCTAGAATCTGTGAAGAGTCATTGCACCGGAGAGCAAAGGCAGCAAGGATTTGGTGGCTGTAGAACCCAAGTTTCTACAGCTGATGCCATCCTGAGCTCTCAGGTGCACAGTGCCAGGTCTGCCTGGGACTCAGCTTGGCAGCAGTAGCCTTTACATCGCCCCCAAGGGTCTGGGAGGGAGCAGATAGAACAGAAGGTACCCCGTGCCATACCCTGGGACTGGGAGCCCAAGCACCCCTCCCCCCAGTGCAGCAGGATCTGAGGAGAGGAATTGCCTTGGGCACTACACTACTGGCTCAACCTGGGAAGCTTTGAGTGACTGCCCCAGTGGGACTTGTGAAGGGGGAGAACTCAACAGTCCCTGGGCCACTGAAACCCACCCTTACCCAAGCAACTTGGCCTCCATGGTCCACTACTGCTACTGGGCCAGCAGAACTGCCCTGAGGTCCCACGCCCTGCCAGGGAACCCACAGCCTCAAGATGTCATCAAACTTGGACCTGGTTCGAGCAAATGCCCATAGCCTGGGCACCCATTACCGCTGCCTAAATAGCCTCACCCAGCTGCCACTGCCACCTCTGTTCCGAGACCCCAGGCAGAGCAACCCCCCCACAAAGTCAGCCTTCATGGAGAGGGTCTCACTCATTCCCCAACTTAAACTTCCTACAAGGATTTGGGGAACAACCCCCATACTGCACAAAGGTCATCCCCCATTGGCTCCAGCTGTGGCAATCACAAGTGAATGAGACAAAATAGAACAGCTGCACTACAGGCTCTTAGTGCACATGCCCCTCCCCTTCCAGGCCAACATTTCAGAGTAGGAAAAAAGCACCATCTAGGGTCTTCCCATTCTTCTAATTAAGCAGGAGAGTCCCCAGCTAAGGAGAACAGGTGCCCTGCAAACCTACTAGCCCTGAGCTGAGACAAGAGGAGTTTGATGAGAAGAAACCAGCAAAAGAACCCTGGCAACATGAGAAAACAAAGCAGTTGAACACCCACAAGGGATCGCAGTGAAGCTATAGTGGTAGACTCCAACCACAAGGAAATTGCCAAAGTGGCAGAATGGAATTCAGAATACGGGTGGCCAATAAGATGAATGGAATTGAAGAGAAAGTTGAAAAACAACAAATAGACACCAGAGAAAACAAAACATATTTCAGGAAATCAGTGAAAAAGTTGCTAAAGAGCTAGGCAACATGAGAAAAGATATAACAGAACTTAAAAAAATGAAAAAGTCATTTAGGGAACTCCAAAACACAGCAGAAAGCCTCAGCAAAAGACTAAACCAAGGAGAATAAAGAATCTCAGAGCTTGAAGACAAGGCTTTCACGCTAACTCAGTCATTCAAAGAGGCAGAAAAGAAAACTGATAATGCAAATTAATACAACCTTTGTGGAAAAGAGTTTGGAGATACCTCAAAGAGCTAAAAATAGAAATACCATTCGATCCAGCAATAGCACTATTAGGCATCCACCCAAAAGAGCATAGACATTCTGCATTAAAGACATCTGCACCCGAATGTTTATGGCAGCACAATTCACTATTGCAATGACGTGGAAAGAATCCAAGCATCCGTCAATTCATGAGTGGATTAGTAAAATTTGGTATATGTTCACAATGGAATATTACTCAATTCTAAGAAACAACAGCGAACTAGCACCAATTATACTATCCTGGATTAAGCTTATTAAGCCCATTATTCAAAGTGAGGTGACAGAGATCAGAAAAATGGGCTCCACATGTACTCGCCATCAAATTGGTACTGACTGATTAACACTATGGTGCTCACATGGTGGTGGTGTTCACCAGGGATTTGGGGTTGAGGGGGCAGACCCACATCTGAGGGATGTGCCGAGCATTGTGAAGGAAAGGGGCGTACCTCTAACCCTAGCTAGGGAGAGGCAAAGATGTAAAATGTAACCAAAATGTCCCCCAAAATCCCAAACATTTCTCTGGTGTCAGGCAGGTGGGAGGGGGTAGGAGGGAATGGGTATGTACATACGTACTGAGTGTGATGCGTACCACCTGGGGGATGGACAGGCTTGAAGCTCTGACTTGAGGGGGGATGGGAGGCAAGGGCAATATATGTAACCTTAACAAAATTTATACCCTGTAGTATGATGAAATAACCTCCCCTAAAATAAACCAATAAAGCTGCTATGAACATGAACATGTGATGAACGAATATGAATAGGTTTTCATTATAAACATAATCAGAGTGCTGGGTATTATGGTTTATTTATGAGACCACCAAACTGTTTTCTAGAGAGACAAAACATTTTCCATTCCCACTAGCAGAGTACCACTTGCTCTGTGTCCCCACCAGCACTTGGAATTACCACTTTTTCCCCATTTTAGTAAATGCTTAGTGGTTATCACATATATTTTTAATTCAGATTTCCTTAATAGCCAATAATATTGATCATATTTTCATGTGCTTATTTGACATCTGTATGCCTTCTTGATGAAGTGCCTATTTAAGTCTTTTGCTCATTTTTAACCTGGGTTCTTGGTTTCTTTATTGTTGAATTTTGAGAGTTCTTTATATATTATGGATAAAAGTTCCTTGAGATGTGATTTGCAAGCATTATTTCCCAGTTTGTAGCTTACGTTTTAATTTTCTTAGCGATGTCTTTTGCAGAGAAAAGTTTTAACTTTGATGAAATCTATTGATTGATTGTCTTTTCCCATGTTGAGATTTCTCTGATTCTTCACATGTTGGGTAATTTTGAACTGTTTTCTGGGCATTTTGAATAGCAAGACTCGAGGTCTTGTATCAATCTCATGGAGAATGTTGATTTCTTTGTTTTTAGCTTGCATTGACCCAAGTAGGTGCAGTCACAGTTTGTATTTGGTTCCAATGTCAGTTCAGTTTTTCAAGTTTTGCAGTGGTTTTTGGATCTATCACACACGTGCAGCACTAGCAGGTAGTTTGGGGATGAGATAGTGGCTCAACCCATAGTTCTGTTCTCAAAGCCTTTGGTATGCTCTTTACATACATATCCACACATGTGTAGCTTGAGGATAAGCCCAGAAGTTCATGACCAACTTCATGGATTGTTTTGTTCATCTCCCTAATCTCAGCTAACTCCCCGACATATGCCTGCTCTCAAGTGCCTCCTTTCCTGGTATTCTAAAAACTGGGACTTTCAGGTGGAGCAAGATAGCAGACGAGAAAAACCACCAACTAGAGTTTCTCTGCAAAAAAGACAGATTTTAGAAGAAATAAGCAAGCAGACAAGCATACATCAGACGAGGGTCGTAAGGAGTGGTACCGGAGACTATGGGAGACTCCATGGGAGAAGGTTGCAGAGGAGAACTGGAAGAAGAGAGCTCTCTGGAAGCTTGGAGACCAGCCACAAGGGTAGGTAGAGCAGTTAACTTTCCCCTCCCTTGCATCTTGGACTGCTGGTGGGCTCCCCAGCAGATGGAGAGACCTGCAGACACCAGACCAGAGACAGCCTCTGCCAGTGAGTGGTAAGCCTGTTATGGACATGGCACCAGGCTCCCAACTCCCTTGATGCACCTCCCTGTGTACAATCCTGAGCCGCTCAGCAGGCACCATATTGCTACATTCTCCATTTCCCTATCCGCGGGGGCCAAGAGAGACAATATAGCCACCACCCGGAGGCATCTCCAGGAAATGGGACCTTCCCTACAGCTAACTGAGGGGTACTCAGATGGTGAGCTCCCTACTTGCCAGCCCTCCCAGGTGCTGCTAGCCTGGTGACTCCAGGAGAACAGGGCAGATCCTGAGGATGAGAGACATTGACCCAGCTTGGGCACCCCATGGGTGAAGTAGGACTGGCACTCCTCTCCCTGGAGGGGTCAGGGATTGAATTCCAGGGCCCAGAGGTCAGACCTGCAGACCAGATCCCATGCACCCAGGTCTTGAATTTCCCCAGGGCACAAAAGGGATATTCGTGAACAAGCCTACTAAATTGTATGTGCCCTCAGGGATGGATCAGCATACTTGAGGGCAATCCTCCTCCCATGCGGGAGGGGTGCCGTGTGCCCAGCCCAGGCAGCGACCCTGCACAGGGAACCTCCCAGCCTGCATCACAGTCAGGGGAGACCCGCTGGCGTGAAGTCCTGCCAGCTCGCAGAGGCTCAGGAGAAGCTATGGAGTTGGGAATGGTGGAAAGTAGTGAGGCCTGCTCCAGACTGCAGGTCTCAGATACCCCCACCCCCACATGCAGACTTTCTGGATGAGTGGGGCAATCCCAGCCCCTCCCTGAAAGCTTTGCCCAGAAGCAGAGAACAGACCTTTAACGGCATTAGTGGTGCTTGAGAGCACCCATTAGTGGTGCTTACGAGCACCCTGCTAATGGCATTAGTGGTGCTTGAGAGCAGCCTTACCCAACCCAGCTCTGCGCAGACTCACTCCCAGATTCACCCTCACTGAGGTAGAGAATAAGGACACACCTGGAAGTCCCAGGGTACCACCCACCACATGAGACACAAGAGTGCTTCTCCAGAGGATCAAGAGCTACTTACAGGACCCAAAAACAATAGTGTAGCCTGCTCCTCCCAGCAAGCACCACCTACTGACAGGAAGGTCATTCTGCACATCCTTGTACTGCATCTACTGACTAATCATACAGGGTGTGGTTGAATCTCACTCACAAACACCACCTACTGGCTCAGAGACTAAACAGGGCGTGTCATTATCCAAAGGAGAATCTAAAGGTAAGAAGCAACAACTGATCCAGATGGGAAGAGGTCAGTGAAAGAACTCTGGAAATATAAAGACTCAAATGGAAGGCACATCCCCAAAGAGGAATACCAGCCCTTTAGAAATGGACATCAACTAAAATAAGGCCACCAAAAAGACAGAAGAAGAATTTCGAACATGGATTGTAAGAAAATTCAATGACTTGCAAGAAAAAATGGATAACCAACACAAAGAAACCACAAAAACATTCCAAGACCTGGAAGAAAAATTCACTAATGAAATTGAAATAATAAAGAAAAATCAAACCTAACTCCTGGAAATGAAGAATCTATTCAGGGGAACTACCAAAACACAGTGAAAGCCTCAGAGAACAGGGCGGGTAATCAACAGAAGAAGAATCTCAGATATTGAAGACATCTTCCAATTAAATAAGTAAGTTACAGAGATAGAGCAGAGAAATAAGAGAAAAGAACAAAGCCTACAAGAGATGTGGGATTATGTCAAGAAACCTAATGTGAGGGTCATAGGGTTACCAGAAGGGGAAGAAGAAAACACCCAAGGATTGGATAAGCTATTTGAAGATATAATAGAGAAAAATTTCCCAGGCCTTGATAAAAACCTAGATATACAAGTTAAAGAAGCTCAAAGGACCACTTGGAGATTGAATGCAAACAGGAAGACGTCATAACATGCAGTCATCAGACTGACCAAAATATCAACTAAAGAGGCCCTTCTACGAGCTATAAGATGAAAGAAGCAAGTAACATACAAAGGAAAGCCAATCTGAATAATGTCAGATTTCTCTACTGAAACCTTACAAGCAAGAAGAGACTCGGGCCCCGTTCTCACTCTTCTGAAACAGAATAATGCCCAGCCTAGAATCTTGTTCCATGCAAAACTAAGTTTTGTATATGAAGGAGAAATCAAGACATTCTCAGGTAAGCAAAGACTGAGAGAATTCACCAAGACAAGACCAGCCCTTCAAGAAGTACTCAAATCAGTGTTATCCACAGATTAGCACAATAAACACTCAAAAATGTTAATCCACCCAAAACCTAAAGATCAAAGGCCAGATACCACATGGCTCAAGAGAGAAAACAAAGCAACAAAGTTCAACCCAACATAATGAACAGAAATCTGCCGCACCTATCAGTTATCTCAATAAATGTGAATGGCTTGAACTCCCCACTCAAGAGACATAGGCTGGCTGAATGGATAAAAAATACAAGCCAAGTATCTGCTGCCTTCAGGAAACACATCTAATCTGCAAGGAGCAGTTAGACTAAAGGTAAAGGGGTGGAGAATAACATTTCAAGCAAACGGAAGCCAAAAGAAAGCTGGTGTGGTGGTGTTGATTTCAGATAACTTAGTTTTTAACCAACAAAGTAATAAAAGACAAAGAAATCACTATATATATGGTGAAGGATACAGTTCAACAAGAAGACATAACAATTCTAAATATGTATGCACCAACTTAGGTGCACCGAATTCATAAAAGCAAACTTCACTTGATCTAAACAAATGGATAAACAACAACACCATAATAGCTGGAGATTTTAACACCCCACTGACAGCACAGGACAGATCCTCCAAACAGAAAATTAACAAAGAAATAAATGAACTTAACAGAAACTCTAGAACAAATGGGTCTGACTGACATTTACAGGACATTCTACCCCAACCACTGAACATACATTCTTCTCATCACTCATGGACTTCTCTAAGATTGAACATATCCTAGGACACAAAGCATGTCTCAAACATTAAAAATACAGAAATTATACCATGTATCTTTTCAGATCACAATGATAAATGTAGAAATAAACCCTAACAGGACTCTCAATTCTACACAAAGTCATGGTAACTAAACAACCTTCTGCTGAATGATGACTTCATAAATGAGGAATCAAGATGGAAATCAAAGATTCTTTGAACTAAATGACAAAGGAGGCACAAGTTATCAAAACCCTGTGGGAACAGCTAAAGCAGTCCTGAGAGGAAAGTTTATTTCCATAAATGCCTATATCAAGAGTTGGAAAGATCACAAATAGACAACCTAATGAATCATCTCAAAGAGCTGGAAAAAGAAAGAACAGACCGAACCCAAACCCAGCAGAAGAAGTGAAATCATTAAGATAAATCACAACAAATAAATGAAATTGACAACAGGAACCATATGGAAGATTAATAAAACAAAAAGTTTGTTCTTTGAAAAATAAACAAAATTGACACACCTTGGCTAAGCTAATGAAAAGCAGGAAAGAAAAATCTCTAATAAGCTCCATCAGAACAATCAGGAGATTACAATGGATGCCATGGGATACAAGATATAATATAAAATACTACAAAATCTCTATGCACACAACTGGAAAATGTGGAGGAAATGGACAAATTCTTAGAACAACACAGCCTCCCTAGGCTCAACAGGAAGAATAGAATCCTGAACAGCCAATATCAAGTACTGAAATTGAACGCAATAAAAACCTTCCTACAAGAAAAGCGCTGGACCGAATGGTTTCACACCTGAATTTTACCCACCTACAAGAAGAACTGCTGCCTATCCTGCAGAAATTATTTCATAAAATCGAGAGATGGAATCCTCCCCACAATTTTATGAGAGAACATAACCCTGATACCAAAACCAGGAAGGATCAACAAAAAAGAAACTACAGCCCAATATCCCTTATGAATACAGATGCAAAAATTCTCAACAAAATTCTAGCCAATCGAATCCAGGTGCTTATCAAGAAAATAATCCAGCACAACCTGGCCGGGTGCAGTGGCTCACGCCTGTAATCCTAGCACTCTGGAGGCCGAGGCGGGTGGATTGCTCGAGGTCAGGGTTCGAAACCAGCCTGAGCAAGAGTGAGACCCCATCTCTACTATAAATAGAAAGAAATTAATTGGCCAACTAATATAGATAGAAAAATTAGCCAGGCATGGTGGCACATGGCTGTAGTCCCAGCTACTCGAGGCTGAGGCAGAGGATCGCTTGAGGCCTAGGAGTTTGAGGTTGCTGTGAGCTAGGCTGACGCCACGGCACTCACTCTAGCCTGGGCAACAAAGTGAGACTCTGTCTCAAAAAAAAAAAAAAAAAAAAAAAAAACTATGATGTTCAAATGGTGGTAGTGCTCACCAGGGGTTCTAGGGGGCAGGGGAGACCAACATCTTAGGGATATGGCAAGCATTGTGGGGGGAGGGGAATAACTCTAACCCTTCTTAGGGAGAGGCAAAGATATACAATGTAACCAAAATGTCAAAACAATATAAAACACCTTTATCAGGTGTGGGCAGGTGGGAGGAGGAAGAAGGGGAGGGGTGTATACTTACATAATGGGTGTGGTGTGCACCATCTGGGGGTTGGACACAGTAGTATTGTGCATTTCACTGTTGGACATTTTATCTGCCCCACTCTGGGAACCAGGTTACTCAGGGCAATAGAAACTGGAGAAAGAACCTCTACATCATTCCTAAATAAACTCAAGTTAAAAGTGGCTAAATGGCACATTAGGGAGACTACTATGTTGAGAAACCAGACCCAACATGCTGACCTTAAGTCCACCTTATTATTCCTCTGTCATTTTTTTGATATAGGTTTACATTCTTCCTAATCTGATTAGTTCCCACATGTCTACTAAATTTCTAAGTCACCCAGTAAAACCATTTTAATTACTTCCCTAGTGGTCTACCAAAAAAGCAATCATTTCAATGATTTTGATATAATTTAACTATTTATTGGGTCATCCCATAAATATTATGAATTATGAATTTCCTTTCCTTTGGATACATACCTGGTTGTGGGGTTGCTGGACTTACGATATATCTATTTTTGTTTTTTTGAGAAGCTTCCACACTGTTTTCCATAATGACTGTACTAATTTACAATTCCACCAACAATGTATAAGAGTGCCCTTTTTCTCTGCATCAAACTCTTCCTTAAGGATAAAAGAAAAAATGAGAAAATTTTCATTGTGCTTCTTTTCATTTTTTTTGCTATTAATCATTTTGTTTATTCTTTTAAAAAATTAAAATCTGAAAATAAACATAAGATTGAGAAAAAATAATGTGCATGTTGAATTACATTTCACCTCATTAGCAAAGATATGCTAGGAGCTCTATTCCAAGTAGGAGATTTTTGAAAAGTATAATTCAAAACAACACTGGCTGAGGGACAAGCTACAGGTCCTGGTCCTGTCTATGTTCATAGTACTGAGCGACATCAGCAAAATGGTGAACTAGGAACCTCCAAATCCTATTCTTCCATAGGGAAAAAAACCCTCACAGGTTGGTTAACATAAGCTCATGGAAACTCTGAAAAACAGTCAGAGGTCTATAGCAACCAAGCAAATTCCCATCAAGAAAAAGTCAAATTCAAAATTTCGATGTTTTCACTCATTTTATACGTATAAGAGTCCCAGAAGGAGAAGATAGAAAAGGACAGAAAGCTTATTTGAGAAGTAATAGTCAAAAAATTCCCAGATTTGAGGAAAGACATACATATACAAAGAAGCCAAGGAACACCAAGGAAGACAAATCCCAAAAGACCCACCCTGAGATAATTTATAATCAAACTGCTAAAAGATGAAGACAAATTAAAATCTTGAAAGCAGCAAGAAAAAACAGACTCATCTTGTATGAGATCCTTAATAAGATTACCAGTGGGTTTTTCAGTAGAAAGCTTGCAGGCTAGAAGGCAAAGAGATGATATGTTTAAGGTGCTAAAAGGAAAAAAAAAAAAACCAGTTAACTGTAGGTTCTGAACTCTTTACAAATTCTATATGTCCACTTTGGTGTTGATCAGTTAATATCAATTTGCTGATGAGTACATTTGGTGCTTGTTTTTCTATTCTCGGGATACTTCATTTAGTAGAATGGGTTCCAGCTCTATCTAAGACATATAGGAATAACATTTATCGGGTGTCGGGCAGGTATGCCATGGGATACAAGATTATAATATAAAATCTACAAAAATCTCTATGCACACAACTGGAAAATGTGGAGGAAATGGACAAATTCTTAGAACAACACAGCCTCCCTAGGCTCAACAGGAAGAATAAGAATTCCTGAACAGCCAATATCAAGTACTGAAATTGAAACGCAATAAAAACCTTCCTACAAGAAAAGCGCTGGACCGAGATGGTTTCACACCTGAATTTACCACCTACAAGAAGAACTGCTGCCTATCCTGCAGAAATTATTTCATAAATCGAGAGATGGAATCCTCCCCACAATTTTATGAGGAGAACATAACCCTGATACAAAACCAGGAAGGATCAACAAAAAAGAAAACTACAGCCCAATATCCCTTATGAATACAGATGCAAAAATTCTCAACAAAATTCTAGCCAATCGAATCCAGGTGCTTATCAAGAAAATAATCCAGCACAACCTGGCGGGTGCGGTGGCTCACGCCTGTAATCCTAGCACTCTGGAGGCCGAGCGGGTGGATTGCTCGAGGTCAGGGTTCGAAACCAGCCTGAGCAAGAGTGAGACCATCTCTACTATAAATAGAAAGAAATTAATTGGCCAACTAATATAGATAGAAAAATTAGCCAGGCATGGTGGCACATGGCTGTAGTCCCAGCTACTCGAGGCTGAGGCAGAGGATCGCTTGAGGCCTAGGAGTTTGAGGTTGCTGTGAGCTAGGCTGACGCCACGGCACTCACTCTAGCCTGGGCAACAAAGTGAGACTCTGTCTCAAAAAAAAAAAAAAAAAAAAAAAAAACTATGATGTTCAAATGGTGGTAGTGCTCACCAGGGGTTCTAGGGGGCAGGGAGACCAACATCTTAGGGATATGGCAAGCATTGTGGGGGGAGGGGAATAACTCTAACCCTTCTTAGGGAGAGGCAAAGATATACATGTAACCAAAATGTCAAAACAATAAAACCTTTATCAGGTGTGGGGCAGGTAGGAGGAGGAAGAAGGGGAGGGTGTATACTTACATAATGGGGGTGGTGTGCACCATCTGTTGATTTCAGATAACTTAGTTTTTAAACCAACAAAAGTAATAAAAGACAAAGAAGGTCACTATATAATGGTGAAGGATACAGTTCAACAAGAAGACATAACAATTCTAAATATGTATGCACCCAACTTAGGTGCACCGACATTCATAAAGCAAACTTCACTTGATCTAAATAAATGGATAAACAACAACACCATAATATCTGGAGATTTTAACACCCCACTGACAGCACAGGACAGATCCTCCAAACAGAAAATTAACAAAGAAATAATGAACTTAAACAGAACTCTAGAACAAATGAGTCTGACTGACATTTACAGGACATTCTACCCCCAAACCACTGAACATACATTCTTCTCATCAGCTCATGGGACATTCTCTAAGATTGAACATATCCTAGGACACAAAGCATGTCTCAAACAATTAAAAAATATAGAAATTATACCATGTATCTTTTCAGATCACAATGGAATAAATGTAGAAATAAACCCTAACAGGAACTCTCATTTCTACACAAAGTCATGGTAACTAAACAACCTTCTGCTGAATGATGACTTCATAAATGAGGAAATCAAGATGGAAATCAAAAGATTCTTTGAACTAAATGACAAAGGAGGCACAAGTTATCAAAACCCTGTGGGACACAGCTAAAGCAGTCCTGAGAGGAAAGTTTATTTCCATAAATGCCTATATCCAAGAGTTGAAAAGATCACAAATAGACAACCTAATGAATCATCTCAAAGAGCTGGAAAAAGAAGAACAGACCAACCCCAAACCCAGCAGAAGAAGTGAAATCATTAAGATAAAATCACAAATAAATGAAATTGACAACAGGGAAACCATATGGAAGATTAATAAAACAAAAAGTTGGTTCTTTGAAAAAATAAACAAAATTGACACACCTTTGGCTAGACTAATGAAAAGCAGAAAAGAAAAATCTCTAATAAGCTCCATCAGGAACAATCAAGGAGACAGATTCATGGATGCCATCAATACAAGATATAAATATAAATATACAAAAATTCTCTATGCACAACAAACTGCGAAAATGTGGAGGAAATGGACAAATCTTAGAAACCACACAGCCCCCTAGGCTCAACCAGGAAGAAATAGAATTTATCCTGAACAGGCCCAATATTCAATACTGAAATTGAAACCGCAATAAAAAACCTTCCTACAGAAAGCGCTGGACCAGGATGGTTTCACACCTGAATTTTTACCACACACAAAGAAGAACTGCTGCCTATCCTGCAGAAATTATTTCATAACACGATGAAGGATGGAATCCTCCCCAAAACATTTTATGGAGGAAGAACATAACCTGATACCAAAACCAGAAAGGATACAACAAAAAAAGAAACTAACCCAAATCCCTTTGATACAGATGCAAAACATCTCAACAAATTTCTAGCCAATCAATCCAGGTGCTTATCAAGAAAATAATCCAGCGCACAACCTGGCTGGCGTGCGGTGCTCACGCCTGTAATCCTAGCACTCTGGGAGGCCGGAGCGGGTGATGCTCGAGTCAGGAGTTCAAACCAGCCTGAGCAAGAGTGAGACCCCATCTCTACTATAAATAGAAAGAAATTAATTGGCCAATAATATAATAGGAAAAAAATTAGCCAGCATGGTGGCACATGCGCTATCTAGTCCACTACTCAAGAGGCTGAGGCAGAGGTCGCTGAGTCCTAGGAGTTGAGGTTGCTGTGAGCTAGGCTGACGCCACGGCAACTCACTTAGCCTGGGGCAACAAAGTGAGGACTCTGTCTCAAAAAAAAAAAAAAAAAAAAAAAAAACTATGATTGTCTCAAAATGTGTAGTGCTCACCAGGGTTCGGGTCAGGGGAGACCAACATCTTAGGATATGGCAAGCATTGGGAGGGAATAACTCTAACCCTTCTTAGGGAGAGGCAAAGATATACAATGTAACCAAAATGTCAAAAACAATAAACACCTTTATCAGGTGGTGGGCAGGTAGGAGGAGGAAGAAGGGGAGGGGTGTATACTTACATAATGGGTGTGGTGTGCACCATCTGGGGGTTGGACACAGTAGTATTGTGCATTTCACTGTTGGACATTTTATCTGCCCACTATGGGAACCAGGTTACTCAGGGCCAATAGAAACTGGAGAAAGAACCCTACATCATTCCTAAATAAACTCAAGTTAAAGTGGCAAATGGCACATAGGGAGACTATATGTTGAGAAACCAGACCCAACATGGTGACCTAAGTCACCTATTATTCCTCTGTCATTTCTTGATATAGGTTTACATTCTTCCTAATCTGATTAGTTCCCACATGTCTACTAAATTCTACAGTCACTCAGTAAAACCATTTTAATTACTTCCTATGGTCTACCAAAAAGCATCATTCAATGATTTTGATATAATTAAATATTATTGGTCATCACATAAATATTATGAATAGAATTTCCTTTCCTTTGATACATACCTGGTCGTGGGGTTGCTGGACTACGATATATCTATTTTGTTTTTTTGAGAAGCTTCCACACTGTTTTCCATAATGACTTACTAATTTACATTCCCACCAACAATGTATAAGAGTGCCTTTTTCTCTGCATCAAACTCTTCCTTAAGGATAAAAAAAAATGAGAAAATTTTCATTGTACTCTTTCATTTTTTGCTATTAATCATTTGTTTATTCTTTTAAAATAAAATCTGAAAATAAACATAAGATTGAAGAAATAATGTGCATGTTGAATTACATTTCACCTCATTAGCAAAGATATGCTAGGAGCTCTATTCCAAGTAGGAGATTTTTGAAAAGTTAATTCAAAACAACACTGCCTGAGGACAAGCTACAGGTCCTGTCCTGTCTATGTTCATAGTACTGAGCGACATCAGCAAAATGGTGAACTAGGAACCTCCAAATCCTATTCTTCCATAGAAAACCCTCACAGGTTGGTAACATAAGCTCATGGAAACTCTGAAAAACAGTCAGAGGTCTATAGCAACCAAGCAAATTCCCATCAAGAAAAAAGTCAAATTCAAAATTTTGATGTTTTCACTCATTTTATACATATAAGAGCCCAGAAGGAGAAGATAGAAAAGGACAGAAAGCTTATTTGAGAAGTAATAGTCAAAAAATTCCCAGATTTGAGGAAAGATATAACATACACAAAGAAGCCAAGGAACACCAAGGAAGACAAATCCCAAAAGACCCACCTGAGATAATTTATAATCAAACTGCTAAAAGATGAAGACAAATTAAATCTTGAAAGCAGCAAGAAAAAACAGACTCATCTTGTATGAGATCCTTAATAAGATTACCAGTGGGTTTTTCAGTAGAAAGCTTGCAGGCTAGAAGGCAAAGAGATGATATGTTTAAGGTGCTAAAGGGAAAAAAAAAAAAAAAAACCCAGTTAACTGTAGGTTCTGAACTCTTTAACAAATTCTATATGTCCACTTTGGTGTTGATCAGTTAATATCGATTTGCTGATGAGTACATTTGGTGCTTGTTTTTCTATTCTCGGGATACTTCACTTAGTAGAATGGGTTCCAGCTCTATCCAAGACATATAGGAATAACATTTATCGGGTGTCGGGCAGGTGGGAGGGGATGGGTATATACATACATAATAAGTGAGATGTGCACCGTCTGAGAGATGGTCACACTTAAAGTTCAGACTCGAGGGGTGTCGGGGGGGCAAGGGCAATATATGTAACCTTAACATTTGTACCCCCATAATATGCTGAAATAAAAAAGAAATGAAAGCTAAATAGAAACAAAAAATAGACTCATAAAAATTACTTAAAAAATTAAGTCAAAATACTTAGATTCTAATGACTTATAGTCCACTAAGAAAGCTGGCCCAAACCATTATAATAAGTAGACACCGATTTTAAATACTTCAGAAAATAAGCAATGAAATTATTAAGGAAACATCAATAATTGAAAAATATTGGGTAAAAATAAACTGTTCATTTTATAATACCTGAATAGATACAGGTACAAATTCTAAAACTTCCATTTATACCATCATAGAAAAGGACACAAAACATATTGGGAAAAAACCTACTATGTCTTTATAACAAATAGGTCATATAATCTTAATGAAGCTTCCTCTGCATTGTCTACTCAATAGAAGGCGAAAGTACTTTATCTCAACTTTATGAACTGTGTGATTCTATTCCACATGGGATTCTATTTTAAATTTAACAAAAGGTGACCTTAGGGAAACATAAATAATTGTCTTGTACATGTGTAAATCATTAGAGAGAGGTGCATTCTTTCTTGCTAGGGGCTTATTGACATGCAGGGATAATCATGACATAAAGAAGTTAAATATTAATATAAAAACATAATAAAAATATCAGCCAGTTATTGGTAGATAAAATTAGAAGTACGCCAATAATATTGACCAAAGAATAATTGACTGGGAGTCAGCAGATCCTGTGTGCTACTCTACACCTTCTATTCAACAAACTCTGTGACTTTGGACATGTTACTTCAACTCTTTGGACTTCAGGATTTTTAATCTGTAACATGAAATAGTTGGGTCACTGCTATCCACATTTTAGCTAGTTACAATTTAGTTCATAATTATCACAATAAATTACAGCTGTCCCTCAGAATTCCTGAGAGATTGGTTCCAGGACCTCCCACAGAAATCAAAATGCCCAGATGCTCAAGTCCCTGATATAAAATAAAATAGTTTCTGCATATAACCTATGCACATCCTCTGTATACTTTATGTCATTTCTAGATTACTTATCATATTTAATCTAATGTAAATGCTATGTAAATAATTGTTATGCTGTATTGTTTAGGGAATAATGACAAGGAAAAAAAGTATGTACATGTTTAGTACAGATGTAATTTTTTTGCAGGTATCTTCCATCCATGTTTGATTGAATCCATGGACGTGGAACCCAAGCCAGCTGTGTATCCATTATGCATAATATAGTCACAATATGTAAGAATACGAATAGCATGCAAAGGAATGCAACAATAAAATTATTTGAAGGTATCAATGGTAAGACATTATACTACATCTGTTTAATAGTCTAGCCGATAAAACTGAAAAAAAATAAACAAACCCTAAAAATTCCCTGATAAGCTTTATTGCAATGGCCAAGTGTATGCTGTTATTTTGTAATAATTTACTGACGCAGTTTACTGCCTGAGCAACCATAGTACTTGTCCTGGAGCTCATGCCAAAGAGTTGATAATTATGCAGACACCACAAGAACAAGGTCCAAGATGGACAGGCCAGCCAGCCCTCCAGGTCCCTGTGCTGCTCTTCAGGCTCTGGCCACTGTTGCCACCACTGTTATTAATACTTTTGCTGCTGCCTTGAGGTCTCTCACCACAGTGCCCCTGCACGCGCACAGCTACCAGGGCCAAGTGCTGGGGCCTGTGCTACTTGCCTTGCTCACCTGCCTCTTTATGTTAGCTTAGCTCTTCCTCCCTATATCTCCTGTGAACTAATTGTGAGATCTAGGAACTGATGTTTTTAAAGGGAGTATTTAAAGTATTATATACTCTAAATTTCATCCTCTCATGAGCAATCTAACATCTGTAAGGATTTTTAAGATTGTTCAGTGGCTGGTAACAGCCACCCATAACTTAGTGGCTTCAATCAGCAACAACCATTTACTGCTGCCCATGCGTGTGGGGGGTAGTTGGGCTCACCTGGGTAGTTCTGTGCATGGTATGAATTATGACTACAGTTACCTGAAGGCTCAACTGGTTTGGGATGTACGAGATGGCTCACTGGAGGTTCAACTGACTTAGAATGTCCAGGACGGTGGCAGTTGGTCCTTGCTGTGGGCTAGGATCTTCTGTAAGGCTGTCATTTGGAGCACTTCGCTTCTCCTCCATGGGGCATCTCCAGGGGGCCTCTCCACGTGGCTCACTTAGGCTTCTTTAAAAGTGTCATAGTTTCAGGACAATCATGCCTCTTCTGTGGTGGCTGGACCCTAGGAATGCAAAACTGGAAGCTGTCAGGTGCTTTTAAGGCTTAGGACAGGAACAGCCCAAACTTACTTCTGCAGCACTCTACTGTTTAAATGAGCCATGGGGCCAGCTCAGATTCAAGACGAGACTAAAGGGGAACAGCAGAAGGAGCTGTTCATTGGTGGTCATCAATGTAAGAAATTACCTCAGCCTCCTGTTCTTTCTCTTTCCAAATGTGCATGTTCATCACGGGTATCCTGCCTTTATTCCTTCACTGAATGTTGGGTGTGGGGACAAATAAGTTGTGATTTTTTTAGTTCCCGGGTCTCTGAATTAAGAAAAGGTACATCTGAAACCTATGTAGAAACTATCATGAGATCCTGGACTTTTGAGCCTTCGGCCAAAATGATGGAAATTTTGGTTGTATCCCTTAAAGAAGGGGTGAGGATGTTTTGCATTCTAAAGGAAATGGGGGTAAATATTTGTGAATATCCAGAAAAGTGGACTGTGCAGATTGAGTTATTTTTCAAAATTATTTACTGTTCTTTCCAATCAGAAACCACAAATATGGGTGTATTAGTTAACTATTGCTGCATAACAAACTACCACAAATTAGTGACATAAAAAACACATGTCTATTATCTTACAGATTTTGTGGATATGAAGGACAATTTAGCTGAGTCCCTTGCTGTCTCTCTCAGGCTATAATGAAGTTGTCAGCAGGGCTGGGGTCTCATCTGAATGTTCAACTGAAAAAGGATCCTCTTCCAAGCTTACTCAAGGTATTGGCAGAATTCATTTTCTCGAGGATTTTCCATTGTTGACTGTCAGCTGGAGCCACCCTCGATTCCCTGTCCTGCGGCACTCTCTCTTCACAGCGCAGCTTTCCACTTAGCAGAATGCCTCATGCAGCTCAGCAAGGAAGAGGATCCACTGGTAAGACAGAGAATATGGTCTTATGTCATGTCGTCACAGAATGACACCCCATCGCCTTTACCATAGTCAGAAGCAGGTTACAGTTCCTGCCCGCATTCAAGGGGATGGCACAAGGGATGCATAACAAGAGGGGGGGATGACTGGGGACTACCTTAGAGTCTGTCTGCCACACCAGGATCCTTGCTGAGGGACAATTAGACTCTTTGCAACATACATTTCAGAACTGACCTTATTACTTATTTCGAACTTCATTGGTGGAGAATGATATGTGCTGCTTTTAAGGAGATTTAGGAATTGTCACCTTACATATAATCTTCTCTTTTTTCCTCTCCTCAAGCAATTTCCCAGATACCCATCAGCCTGAATCTTGGAGCCAAAACACTCTTGGTATGTGAGAGGAGTAAGAAATTCACTCTATTTGTGGAAAGAGACTGAGATTATAGGAAAGTGTTTAACTACAGTATAATTCAGCCGAAGCTGACTGGCACAGCTGAGCTAAAGGATAACAAAAAGAGATGGTGAAGCATACTGCAGCTGGCAATTCCAGGGAGCAATTAGTGCCCTTAACCAGAAAGGACATGGGAAGTAGGTGAGGCCTCGCAAAGAGGGATGCAAGGAATGAACATGCCGGCCTCGCTATCCATCCTGAGATCCACTACTACACTACCGCTGCCCATCAGTAGAGAGTAGAGGAAGGCCAAAAATAAGACCTTAGCAAATATTACCTTTCTGGGGCAGATGAACTAGATAATTCACTAGAGAGCAAATAAAATGATGAGATTTTCATACAGATAATCTTGCATGTTGGAAGTCAGGAAGTTGATGAATTTCATACCTGAACACCTGTATCTTCTTCATGAAGTAAAAACTAGGCTCCATGCTGAATGGGGGAGAAATGATGCCTTAAAGAGTAGCCAGGAGAGTGGGTTGCTGAAGGTGAGTTGAGACAAAGATCATTGAAGCTGAGAAGAATGATAGGCATTCAGAAAAGTTTCCAACAAATTGATATTAGTAATGCTAGTATTATTGATAATACCTAACGTTACTGAATGCTGACACTGCTGCCGGGTACTATGGAAAGAGGTGAACATTAATCATTCAGTTTAGTCTCCTAATGTCTATGGAACAAGTATGAATCCATTTTACGAATAAAGAAATTGAAATTTAGACACATGACATAATTTACCCAAAGTCTTACAGATAGGAAATAGAACAGCCCAGATTTGAAGACAGGTCTGTCTGGCTCCAGAGCTAAGCTTTTAAGTACTAAAGTATCCTTTCTAATGTTGGCATTTGGTTTTCCCTGGGTAATGTCAGGCCTTCTGTTGACAAAGTCACCAGACAGTGCGCTGGCACAACTGGGAGGTTGGCAGACGGCTGACAAAGTGAAATCTAGAATGTAGAGCTAGGTCGTATAAGCTGGTGCAGGAAGGGAGCTTTTCATGAGGTTGGAAGATGACTATCCTGGAGGAAGATGAGGGAAGAGAGGAGAAAGCAGACGCTATCTTTCTCCCTTTCTGGGACATGGAAGATGGACACAATACCCATGTCCATTTTGAGGGGTAGCCACAAGAAAAGGTGTATCCTCTAGGTAAACCGTTTGGTTTCAAGCAGAGTAAGAAATTGTATATTTTTGGACCTCAGAATTTCTGCCCTAAACCAGGTAGAAACCCAAGGTGTTAACTAGAAGCTTAAATAGATAGGTTTCTTTTGGCCTCTCTGTTCCAAATTGAATGTTAGCCAAGAGTTGTTTTCCTTTTTCTGCAATGTTCAGTTCGAGGGAATAGTTGTGGGGTTGTCGGAACCTGAGTCCTTTGGTCTTAGTGGGATCCAACCCGAATCTCTCTATCTCCTGTAGCAGCAGCAGGTTCTCCCTCTGGCAGGCTACCCTTGTTTCCATGCAGACAGTCGGCGTGTTCTGGATCAATTCTTAGATGATTCTTCTCTTTAGAAGAGACGAATCTCTTCTCCTTAGTGCCACTGTGATGTTTGAGGAGTAGATTGTGATAGCGGATCACATGTAATGATGCTGCGATCATCTGGGGCTTGAAGGAGCAGCCAGCAATATCCCAGGAGCACAATCAGCAAGGTACAAACTTCTGTGAGTCAGAACACAACAGACAATTCAGTGATGTCACAGCTAAATACTGGTAATTAGCATCTCATAACTGTTAGAATGTATACATTTTTTGCTGGCAAATATATTAAAGCATCTAATTACTATCTTGTAACTATATATTAGACATACCCCAATGCTCATGAAGTCTGCCCTTCAGAGGGCTCCCTCAGACTTTGATGACAGAGACTGACCTGGGAATCTTGATGGCATTTTAGTTCATCCTTAAACAAGATACATTCTATCTCCATCTTCCCCCCTCTGCCCTCCCACGTGGCTTATGTGCACACACCTATCTCCCCTCTATTTTATATGCACCTTGAGGCAGGAATTAAGTCTGGTCCACTTGTTAATAATCCTTATCCCAACAAACACCCACTATAGTGCTTTATCTATGTGGCTCATGAATTTAACAAACATTCCTTGAATCTTTACTGTATATCCTCCTCCTCTACTCTCATAGCATCTGGCACAGAGGAGGCACTTAATAAACTTTTATTTTATTCAATTATGGAAGAAAAACAACTTCACCTAGTTGCTACATGACATTCTAAACTATTGTCTAGACTCAGTATCACACAAAACATTTGCAAAATGCAAAATGTCACGCTTTACAGATTACATTGATGCTATAAAATGGCCCTGCCCTCCAATGATGTCTTATTTACTGGAGTTGGGGAAAAGAGAGAGATTAGATCAATAATAAGCATAAGTCGAAACAGCATATTACAATAGGATTTCAAAAGAACTGCTGCTGGGATGCAGAAAGTCAGATCATATCTAATTGCAAAGATTGGAGAAGGTATCATGAAGTAGGGAGTGTTTGAACTGGCACAAAAGAATGAATAATATTTGATCAGGTAGATATATCTGATAGATATTGAGACATAAAATATGATATGAAAATAAAGGGGAGGAAACTGCAGGTTATTTGGTAGGAATCGTGAATTAATCCTTTGAAAGAAAGGGATTAGATATCAAGATGGTAAATAAGTTGGATGGATATTACAGATAAGACTAAATATAAAACAGGAACTATGGACTCAATTAAGAAGACAATTAATAGTCAATGAATTTTTTTTGTTTTTTTTAGACAGAGTCTCGCTCTGTCTCCTGGGCTAGAGTGATCCTCCCGCCTCAGCCTCCTAAGTATTAATAGCTAGGACTACAGGAATGTGCTGCCACGCCTGGCTAGTTTTTCTATATTTTGTAGAGATGGCGTCTCACTCCTGCTCAGGCTGGTCTCGAACTCCTGAAAATATTTAAATATGGTTATGAAATGGTCACATCTCTAATTTAAAAGGATCATTCTGGCAATATGCATGAATTCAAAGGGATAGAGTTGAGATGATAGAAAAAAGGCTAAATCAGGGAGAGAGTTTTGCAATAAGTTGGTATGATGTAATGAGGTACCAAAATAAAGCATTTAAAGTATACTGGAAAGAGAAATAGGATTAAATTTGGAAATCATTTTTGAAAGGGGAGACAAAGAATTGGAGGTGACTAATGTTTCAAGACTATTTTCTTGGAAAGTGTCGTTCTTAATTATTTCTTCTCCTATTATGTGGGTTTGAAGTTTCTATTGCTTTCTTTTTTAGTGTTATTAGGCTTTTTAAATTCACAAGTTAATATAAAGGGAAAGCAATATCAAGCCCATAATCTCAATACACAACAAACATCTATTAGTAAAGTTTCATATGAGTAACACACACAATAAACCTATGAGTAGAGTAAAAACAAGAGAGAAAGTATTATAATAGTCCCTATTATAATAGTACCACTTTTTTCACTTCCACACTCCCAGGGTACTGATGATTGGAATAGGTGAAATGTTCACAGATCTAGGAAGAAATGAGGTCATTCATATTAAGAAGGGAGAGATGAACCTGACTAAAATAAGCGATTTCCACAGACTCACCTAATAGGAGAAGAGAATTATGTAGATGTCATTATAGATGGATGACACGATCTGAAATTTTGAAGGCAGGGCCCAGTCTTTTAGGTAATGATACAAATGCCAAGAAATTTCTGATACAAATTAATGAAGAGGAGATTGTAAGTTTGTAAGTTCATGTATGTGAAAATTCTGCAGGAGGAAAAAGAGTGGATATAGCCCATGTGTAGCTATTAAAGCAAGTTATTATAACATCACTAGCTTTTACTCCCCAATAATTACATTGCTTTATAACCATTATTGATAATATGAGTAACCTTTTACATATTCATTTACCCTTTTCCAAGAGATAAATATCTTAAAAGGAAAAGTGTTGTTCCTCAGTGTAATGGTCCTTCTCCAAACTTCCAATAAATCCAAGCACAATAAATATTCCTCTCTAATAGTTTTCTCCACTTCTCTTCTGGGAGATTGTTTCTTTTGGGTGCTGGTTTTTGTGTGAAATTCATAGGTGGCAGATAGTTGGAGCACTGCAGATATTCTTGGACCTATTCACTGCCTGGTTTATGGTCTAATTCTCTATTCTCTGCCAAGTTGGGGCCCTATCTTCCTTCCTATATGAATCCATACGCCTTACTCAAACAGGCCTGATTCATGAACAGCTAGGACCTCCAGTTTCCATCTCAAGTGAGATCTAAGTCAGGAATTAGAAATTTTGAGGGGCTCTGCCCTCCATAGGCTCCTAGAAGTATTACCATCAGCTCTAGATGACAAGTACATCCTCCTATAAAAACAGCCTGGGTCTAGACAACGACTCTTGCTTCTCTACTCAATTGGCTCCTCTTCTCTTCCTTCCTGTCAGTAATTAATGTCTCAATTTACTTCTGGCAGAAAATTAATATCTCTCCTGAGTCCACAATCAAGAAGTGTTGAGAGACAGTGTATTAAATTCCAAGGGCACGATTTTCTAGAGATAAGGATTATTCTCATTCTAAGCTGATATTAACCAGAATTTAGCGCAAGTCCTAAATCCAAATTTTATATATAACTTTTTACTTTAAACCCTAACTGGAAACCATGGTTTGTATTACTGGTTCATAGACTTTGATGATCCCAACTCCTGTAGGTCTGATTTTATATCTCCACATTGGGTCCAGAAATTTCCTTTTTACTCCAGGACTCTGGGTGATTTTGTTCATGGAGTAGCACAGTTGGCATATGTATCATGCTTCATGATTTTTGTTTAATATTGCTTTTTATTTTTTGATGTATGAAATTTACATAGGTAGTTTAGAGAACATATTTTGAATTAATATTTAAGATTAAATTTTTATTATTTAATTGCACTTTTTAACTTGCATTGATAAGCTGCATGTAACTGAATATTATCAAGCAGGAAAATCTAATGCATCCTTTTAGAAAACAAATCAATGTCTTAATTTAAATTACTTTAAGAGGATATATTGTATGTCAATATAACTAAGCTGAACAGACTTCTCACTTTTAAAATTTACATGAAGCCAAAAGTCTGGGTTGCTTATTTTATATGAAACAATATTATTGACAAATGGGATTGTGATTATTATCTTAATTATTGCTAAATCTTAATAATCTTAATAATTGCTAAATATCTTAACTGTGATAAAGTATCCTGAAATTTATTACATAGAAAAAGGGGGGAAAAGTAACACCGAGCAAGGACAATGATAAAGGACAAGACACCTGACACCAGAATAGATTGAGGTAGAAGTTGAGAAAAAGTAGATATGGGAAAACAAGCACTATAGGTATCTGAAGAGTCCAAGTGGGTAGAAGAAATCTCAACAGAGGAAGAATTCCTGGAAACTGTAAGAAGAATGGAAACATTAGACAATGACATCGGGAGTTATTGTTATTGTAAAGGGAGCCACTGACATAAATTCCAACTCCCATTCTCCCTTATCTAGTCATAAAATCCACTCATCTTGTGGCAGCATATTGCAAAGTTCTCTCCAACCCAACACCTCGTTGGAGGTGATGTGGAGAGCAACCTGTGGATCAGAGTTGAGAAGCGATGCCTTCAGACATACCTAGCCACTCTGGAGGAGTGGTAGAAATGGAGTTCACAGCCAGTTCTACCTTTCTATTCCATGTTCTTTTTCCTTGTTGAATGTATTTAAGTTAGGTCTTGTTGCCAATCATGCAAGATTGATCATCCAACACTAGGAAGGCATTCAAAGTAAACACTATTTGTTATTTCATTTTCCTTTTGCAAGAGAGTAATATCTCATTGATACTCTAGATGCAGATATTCTATCAAGGAAAGAGTTCAACAAAGACAGGGCATTGGGAAAATAAAATGTATTAATGGCACCATTTGTGCCATCTATAAGGTAAAAAATAGATGACCTTATTTAGGCTGTCATTTAGGTTAGCAGTAATACTATCAACACTATTGTATAAATGAAGAAAGTAAAACTCTGACAGGTGAAATGACCTAGCCAGAGTGCACAACTAGTGGCTTGCAGAGCTAGGATTTGAACCCAGGTGTGCTGATGGAAACCCTTAGGCCCCATAGCACTCTCCCCTCTCCCAAGGTTTCTACAGGCTGCAAGGACAGGTCAAGTGCCCACAAGTCACACTTACTGGATTCCCAAATTCACAGAGAGCCTCCTCCCTTCTCACCCTGCCCCTCACTTATCTCCCTAATTCTCCTCTCATCTTTCTACAGTATCTGCCTGGGTCACGAGAAACCTCCTGTGACCTGCAAGAGTGCAGTGGAGAACCCAGGCTCCCTCAAGGAGTCTGAGGGGTCAAGTTGCAGCTAAACATTCAGCACAGAGATAAGGACCGACTAAGACTTTACACAAGTTTAGCAACAGCCACATGCAGAGTGCTGAACTCGACCAGCTGAAGATGAGGAACTGTTACTCATTTGACCTCTTATGACCTCAGTTTCCTTCTGGTCTCTGTGAAATGGAGAAGAAAATAATGGTGTTATTTTCCACCTGCTGTGGGCTCAAATCTGACTCTGCTCTTTAACGTTTGTGACCATTGGGCAAGCCCCTCGTCTCGGAGCCTCTGGCCTTCCCACAGTGCTCTGAGCCACAAGTGAGGGGATAGCAATTAAAACAATATGTTCACAGCCCATCTGTGAAACATTCAAAGTGCTAAGCGGAGGTAAGTGCTTATTCTTCAACACATCCAACTGTATTGACTTGGACTGTTGATCCAGCCTGCCATGATATTTTACACAGCACAGTTTGGTGATTAAAGAACGTGATCCTGGAGTAAGATTTCCTGCATTGGATCCTGGCTCTGCTGTTTGCTAGCAGTGTGACCTTGGCAACTAATATCAATCCTACGCTCCCTAGATTCCTCGTTGCAATACAGAGAGAATTACAGTATTTAACTCATAGGAGTATTCTGAAGATTAAATGAGTAAATACATACAAAAGGCATAAAAGTGTGCTTGTGTGTGTTTGTATGTAATTACAATCAATATACGGATCAATTTAAGGAGGATTAATATCTTAATACTGAATCTTTTGGTCATTAACACAGAATATCTCTCCATTTATTTAGATATTTTGCAAAACGTGATTATTAGGTTTAGTAAATACCTTGCACAGTTTTTGAGATATCCCATGTAGAAGGCCATATTGTCTATAAAGACACATTTATTTCTTCCTTTTCAGACTGCAGGTCTGTACCCTCTTTTGCTTTTCTTACTGCACTGGCTAAAAACACCAGTATAATGTTAAATGGAAATAGTGAGAACAGAGCAGATATTCTTGCCTTTTTACCAATCACTAAATATGATAACTGTAGGTTTTTGTGTATATAGGGAGTCCACAGGTAAAGGAAGACCAAACTCATGGTGTTCCATATTTACAAACAAGCTACCAAGGCTCCCAATAAGGATAATTTAGGATTAAATAATTAAAATAATAATTCAGGAATTAGTTTCTTCCACATATGTAAACAGACCCACATGGCATAAGCAGTTCATAGTTCACTAGTGTAAACTAGTGGCTAGTCTCATAGATATACAGAGAAACAGCTGATAGAAACACAGGAACATGACGAATCAGAAGTTCCAGAGTCAAGAAAGTTTTACAACAAAAGAATCAGCTGAAGCTTTTCATCTCATTGAAGGCAGGGTTTGTTAAGCTTGAGCAAGATCCTGACATTGAGCAGTATACAAAGGTTTACGGTGCAGTTAGTGAGAACATTAGCTGCTGTAAGGCTATTTATGGTGACAAATGAAAAAGGCCGTGCAAACGACCCTAGGTACCATTTTCAAGAAACTGACTTCAATGGTAAGTTCCCTCCTCCAGCAACAACATTAAATCCCGATTTTCTAGCACTCACTCTATCCTCTTCCGATTAATGTTAGCCTACCTTCTTGCCTCAAAAATGCCCCTTCCACTAAACAAGACATTGATGCAACATTAGATGAATGTTAACATTTAATATTCTTTTTTGAAATTTCTCCTATCTAAACTTTTTTATGAGTTTTTTTAATGTTCTGTTTGTTTGAATTAAGAGAAAGAGCACAATAATTTCTGTAATATTATTACAGTATGGGGGTATTATTATTATCACAGCATAATACTGATTATCATAACATATGAACCATTATTATATTGCTGTTGTTATTATTACTTACATATATGCATTGTTCATCAGGTATCCAGTTACATACAAATCCAACCTAAAGACGTTCTCAGGAACATATCTCATATGTAATCTAGGGACTGCCTATACGCCCTTTAACAATTTGAGGAAGCTTCCCTTTGTTCCTAGTTTACTTAGCATTTTTATTCTAAACGGATGTTGAGTTTTAGTTGAATAATTTTTCCCGCATCTATCAAAATGATCATATGGTTATTTTGTCTTAGGCTATTGATACAGTGAATTACACCAGCTGGTTTTGTATATTGGACCAATCTTGCATTCATAAATTAAACCCTACATGGCCATGATGTATTTTCCTGTAATTGCTCGACTTTATTTGCAAAAATTCTCTGAGGATTGTTTGTGTACATGTTCAGGAGATATTGTTTCTCCTGTCTGGCTTTAGCCTCAGGGTAATGCTAATCTCATAAAATGTATCATGAAGGGATCTTTCCTCTTCCCTTCTTTGGAAGAGATATTGTGTAATAGAATTGGTATTATATATTACATATATTTAGTTGTATTCAAATCCTTTTAATATCTTTTTAAGTATATGTAGATTGTGAAGTGATGCTCTTCCCTTTCATTGCTTATATTTATGCCTTATTTATCTGTATAAATATGGGATTACCAATTGCATTATTTTTTTTCAATTAACAATGCTTTTGTTTTGTTGATTCTCACTACTTTGTGGGGTTTCTCCCTCCCCCCATTTCTTCATCTTATTTCTATGTCCTTTTTACTCTCTTAGAGTTTAATTCACAACCTATCTCACCTATCAAGATGGATACTTAGATATTTTCTGGCTTTCTTCTTGCCTGGCTTGTATTTATACATTTCCCTCTATTACACGTTTAGGCAGAATTGATTTTGTGAATGTTATGCAGTTAAGTGTAAGTTTTTATTTTTTTATTTTTTGCCCAGATGGATAACTTGAGCCAGAAACATTATTAAAAAGACCATTTTTCTTCCACTGTTCAAGTGCCACCTTTGTCATAAGTGTCTACAGGTAATTGTCAGTTTCTGGATTCTCTTTCACCATTGATCTATTTGACTACCCAAGTGCAACAATACATTGTCTTAACTACCATTGTTTTATATGAAGTCTTACTCTGTTAAATTTTCTAAACTTGTTCTTCAAAAGGGTCTTAGCTATTCTTGCCTTGGAGCATTTCCATACATAATTTTAGAACCAAATTGTAAATTTAAAAAAAAGCTTATTAAGGTCTTAATATGAAGTGTGTTGAATATTTAGAAAACTGATCTAACACTCTTTAGGAATGTTGAAGGATATGACTAATTATATGTGTTAAATACACCATTAGGGGCAACTATATGATGTTATGATAAAGAATTATGGAGAGCAGAGCATTTGAATAAGCCTGATATAGAATTATATAAGACATCAACATAACTACTGAGGAAAACTGAATATCTGTCATATACTAACAGGGGGCTGATCTATAACAACTGTAGCTTTAATTCCACATAAATAGTGCTAAAACCCATTAGAGCTTTGTAGTTAGGTGTTGGCAGCTGGTACATGGTATTTTTATACATAACCCTTTATTTATGAATGGGCTTGCTCCTCTGGGTTTCAATTTTTTTCCCACTCCCAAGAATATAGAAATCACTTTAGGGGGGATTAACATACTTAATATTGAGTTTCTACATCATTGACAGGTGGGCCCTCTCCCCTACAGAGGCTCTCACCCAGAGGAGCTCTGCCTTTTCACAACATAACAGTTCAGCCAAGCAGGAAGGGGATCAAATAGTTAGGAAATATAAAGGAATTAAGCAGGAATTATGTGCAGATACTGTGTTCACCCCACAGATGCCCTCATCCTTACCTAGTATGCTCTCCTGCAGGGCACCTCCAGAAGTGCTCAACTAAAGCTGATCATGGAGGAAGGAGTAGGTGGAGACACAGAAAATAGGGGAGGAGACATATTAGAGACCTTAAGTTCTCAAGTCTATGCATGTATGACTTCTCACTCCCAAGAGTTTTCCTCTGAAACTGTCCTCAGTTACCAGAGAAAACAGTTGGGGCTGCAGAACAGGGGTTAGAAAGGAGTGAAGAGACATTAGGCAGGGTCTTTATGTGCAATCACCACAGTTTATATAAGTGTATGTAAACAAATAAATTGAAAGTACTAAAAAACTTAGCAAAAATAAGACCACCTGGGTCAGAGATAGTAAAATGGGCCAGAGAGGTGGGTAGTTAAAAGCAGTGTACAGAGGGCAAAGCAAGTTCACATGTGGCTTTTACACATTAGTCTCAGCATCCATTTGCAAGGATAGAGGAAAGATAAAAAAGAATTAATGTTATCTTAACATAGAACATGTGCTCTACATCGTACCTTTATTTCTGATAAGAAAAAATATTCAGATGACTTACGTAGGCTTGCCTGAAGTCACATAATCTGTCAATTTTTGAGCTAGGATTAAAACTATCTGTCTTCACTACCACAGTCTTTCTACCACAAGTTCCCCGTCTGGGAAAATAAAGCCAGAGCTGGTCAAAATGCATGAATGTCAAGTTCTGGGGTTCTTCCAGAGATGCAGGTCAATTTATATGTTTCAGATGGGAAAATGTATATACATCAAATTTATTGAATCTGATCAATCCCTCTTTTCCATCTTTGTACAAGAATTTTATATGTGTGCAGCTTTAGGAGCCATGCTCAAGCCTGTTCTTAAATTACAATTTCTAAGAATTGATGTTTTGTTATGTCTTTTACTCCAGCTTTCTTGCATGTCTTTTATAGAACATTCCTTTATGTCCATAATTATGTCAAGCTAATATTAGTAACTTCACATCTGATTGTTATGTAGTATAATAATATGTAACTTGACAATATTCTGTATACATAACTTGTTCTACTAATCATTCAATTCATAATTTTAAAAGCTTTACATGTCATGTTAAAATGCCTTTCACTTACATAATTATTTTCCATCATCATTTCTGAAAAAGTTAGGCAGTACCGCACCAGAAACATAAACTCCTTTGCTAAATTTGATCTGTAGAGCAGTTTTTCCCAAGTTTACCAAATTAATTAGGTTTCTGGTAATTATTAAGGCTCGAGCTAATACTGAAAGATTTTCTGTGGTAAGTTCATTACAATTTTACCACTGTATGAATTCTCTGGTGTACAGTGAGTTGTGACTTCTGGATGAAGGCTTTCCCACATACAGCACACTGATAGGGTCTTTCCCCAGTATGAATTCTGTGGTGTAAAACAAGGTCTGACTTCTGGGAAAAGGCCTTTCCACATTCAAGACATATATAAGGTTTCTCTCCTGTATGAATTCGCTGGTGTCCTGGGAGGTGGGACTTCTGAGAGAAGGCTTTCCCACATTCAGAACATACATAAGGTTTTTCTCCTGTGTGAATTCTCTGATGTCCAATGAGATGTGATTTCTGACAGAAGGCTTTTCCACATTCATTGCATTTATAGGGTTTCTCTCCAGTGTGTGTTCTCTGATGTATGATGAGCTGTGACTTCCGGGAAAATGTCTTCCCACATTCAGTACATTCATAAGGCTTCTCCCCAGTATGAATTAACTGATGTGTAATGAGTTCTGTCTTCCTACTGAAGGCTTCCTCACACTGAGCACATTTGTAGGGTTTCTCACCAGTGTGAATTCTTTTATGTATGATGAGGTGGGACTTCTCACAGAAAGCTTTCCCACATTCAGTACACTCATATGGCTTCTCTCCAGTATGAGCTCTATGATGTATAATAAGTTGTGACTTCTGAGAGAAGGCCTTCCCACACTCTCTACATTCATAGGGTTTTTCCCCAGTGTGTATTCTCTGATGTATAATGAGAGGTGATTTCTGAGAGAAGGCTTTCCCACATTCACTACATTCATATGGTTTTTCACCAGTGTGAACTCTCTGATGTATAATGAGGGATGATTTCTGAGAGAAGGCTTTTCCACATTCAGAACAATCATAAGGTTTCTCCCCGGTATGAGTTCTCTGATGTACAACAAGATGAAACTTCTCACTGAAGGCTTTTCCACATGCACCACAATCATATGGTTTCTTTCCAGTATGAATTCTTTGATGCACAATAAGCTGTGACTTCTTAGCAAAGGCTTTTCCACATGTACTACACACACAGGTTTTCTCCCTAGTTTCAACATTCTGATATTGAATAAGGGATTGTTTACTTTTAAAAATGTTTCCACACTGATAATCATTACAGGGTATTAATCCATTGTGAATTTTCTCAAGATTAGAATTGGATTCACTGTGGGTAGATGATTTTCCACATCCAAAACTGTGATCAAGGTTTTTTCTTAAATTGTTCTTATTATAAGTAGGCAAGTCAATATTTGGTTTTAAGTTCTTTTTAAAAGCATCATATTTATGCAGTCTTTGTCTTGATGTATCTGGCTCTGTTTTTTCCAATGCAATATACTTATGTCCTGATGCCTCAGTTACTGTTTTGCTGCTGACAAATGTGACTTGCCTGAAAAGTTTGTCTTGATTTTCCTTACATTTCTGAAGCTGGCCATCACCTTGACAGACTTTTAAAATCGAGTAAAATGAACCATCCTTTGTGACTCCTTTCAATATTTTATTATGGAAGGAAACAGCACCCAAAATATATGACTGGGAGTTGTGAAGGTTACTCTTCCTACCTAAAAGGAGAAAAGATAAAAATCAAAAGAGTCATCATAAGAGTCAATTAACAGAGGGAAGAGAAGTGGAACAAATGGATGATCCAACATAGTTGAAAAACTCAGAAAACAGGGATAGAAACAGGACATCTCAAAAGACAGTAAAACATACTGATGAATAGGTAGACAAGGATGTGAAACAAATAGTCATGTAAAGATTAAACCTGAAGGAGATAGAAAAGTGTCTGAGTTCTTATCATTCTAATCTTGAATTATTCCCAGAATCTTCCATTTCTCCTACTTTCTAAATAGAAATCTTTTTCACCTTATGAATTCACTTATCTTATAAAATATTTGCTATATATACTTAACTACTATCCTGCCCCCACTCCAAAGAAATAAGACCTGTTCTGTACTCAAAATACTTTCACTCTTCTCACTCTATTTTCCTAATTAACAACTAACATAAATAACATAAAAATCCAAAATCCTGCTATGGATTCAGTATCAGAATCACACCAAGAATACACGCTTAAATTCCATTACCCTCAATAAACTACCTTCTACATGTGTCAGTAAAACCAGCAAAGTTCTCCCAGAAAAGCCATATCTTCCTGACTCTATGGTTTTGTTTATATATTCTCTCTCTCATACTGTTTGCTTGACTTCACCCTCTTCCTTCAGCCTTACCAGCACTTATGTCATTCAGAGCAGCTATAGCTGCATGCTCTGAAAAATGCCTTCTCAATTTCTGCCACATTTCTTTAGACTCTATTTTCTGTGAGCTCCTAAAACAGTAACTGTATTTGACATTTAATTCTATACAGACATGTATATGGGCAACTTACTTCCTAAAATAAAAACTATGTTCTTGGAAGGACTTGCCTTCTATTGCCTTTAAAACCCTTTCATTAAAAAAAAACACCTAAATATATACGTATGTAAGAGAGAGAGAGAGAGAGAGAGAGAATCAACAAAAAACAATACTCCTCTGAAAAAGCTCACAATTATTTTCAATTATTTGTTGAATGCCTACTAAATGCCTGTGACAATTATTTGTTGAATACCTACTAAATTCTCAGTACAGAAGCAGATAATAGATTTCAATAAGGATAAAAACATGAGCCTCAGGCTCCAGTCAACTAAAAAAACAAAACACACAAACTGATATTTCACTTCCCTTGTCTCCCATCTGCCTGATTTTCATCTGGATACATCCAATTTGATATGTCTCTCTTTATGATACATGGATCTTCTCCTTGTTCCAACTTGGAGATGATGTCTGGTTTGGAAACTGGATACCCTATTAAATGGAATCACAGAGAAATTGGGATTGACTGCACTGAAGGAATAAGTGAAAGTGCAGTTTCAGGTGGTATACAATGAAGTTGTCCATTTAGCCCTTGGCAAAGTGATGACCTCCATTTGGGAAGGTACAAAAGTCATAAAGTCATTACATATGTCGAGAACCACCCACTCATAGCAACTGATAAGGAAAGGCACTTGCCTGGACAACTCCGAGTTATGTGGGAAATGATTCTTACCCATTGAGACCAAGTGGTTGTAGTTTTCCAGCATCACATCCTTGTACAGGGTCCTCTGAGCAGGGTCCAGTTGCTGCCACTCCTCCTGGGTGAAGTCCACAGCCACATCCTTGAATGATACTAACCCCTGTAACAGTACATTCCTATTCAATTTGAAGTGATCATTCTCATCATTTCTACTATCATATGCAAAACTATACCCACATCTAGTTTTGTATCATAGTTTTTGGGAAAAACAATGTAGTAAAATCCTGTCTTTGGCAAGAAGAGCCAAACAGACAAGAAGAGGTAAACCATAAAATGCCTACATAATACACATGGTAATTTTATAAATTATAAAGGCAGCACACAAATAACTTGAAGGAAGATGAATTATTGATGAATAACATTGAAACAGTTGGATACTCAACAGGAAAGGAATAATACTGAAGCCACATGTCATGGGTTGAATTATATCTCCTAAAAATTTATATAAGTCCTAACCTCCCATACCTTAGAATGTGATACAACTTGGAAACAGGGTCATTGCAGATATACTAGTTATGTGAGGTTGTTAGGGTAGACCCTAATCCAATATGATTGGTATCCTTATCAAAAGGGGAAATTTGAACACAGACATAGACACTCATAGAGGGAAAATGATATGAAGAGACTTAAGAAGAAAATGGCTATCAACAAGCCAAGGAGAGAGGTCTGGAACAGATCTCTCCCTCACAGCCCTCAGAAAGACCCAACCCTATAGATACCTCGATTATGAACCTCTAGCCCCCAAAACTTGAGACAATAAATTTATGTTGTTTAAGCCACCCAGTTTGTAGTAATTTTTATGGCAGCCCTAGCAAATCAATACACTATACATTATACCTCAGAAGAAAGAATAAATAAATTCTGATGGAACAAAAATTTAAATTCTAAAAAGGATTAGAGACTATAAGAGTAACAAAATAAAACATAAGAGAATTTTTATTAAAATTATAGAGCAGAGAAGGCCTTTTAAAATATATTTTAAAATATTTTCTTAAAAAAGAAAAACCACATTAAGAGAATCACAGAATGCCAGAGTTCTTGAAGATTATTAATCTAATATCCTCATTTCATAGGAAAAAAAATCTTAGCTTCCCTTAAACTTAATAGCAATTTTATATATGTGCAATAGCTAGTCATATAATGAAATATACCAACTACAGTAGAAATAAAAAATTAAAAAATCCCAGATAATACATTTAATAAGAAATGTGCAGGAAACATTCATGAAGAAAAGCACAACAAATTAGTGATATGGCATCAATAAAGAACTTGGGTAAGAATAGAGCTATTAAAATGTCTTTGGACGGAAAATTGACTATTTTACTTATGTCACAATTACTTTCACAATAATTGTCATCTACCAGCAGAAACTAATCTAATAGTGGAGTGATTAAAATTAAACACTTTTTCAGGTTTTTTCCTAAATGTTCCATTATTACCAAACGTTGTCTTCAGAATGAAAGCAAATTATTGTTTCAAATATCAACAGTGCCCACTTAAAACACTCCTTTGTCTTCCTCCTTGCATATACAGTCTCACCCAGTCATCTCAATTCCAGTTCCAGAAACACATCATCTAGCTATTAATATTTCGTTTGTCCATGACAGCCCTATTAATTTTCCTATTTTATGTATGAGAAAACTGAGGAGTACAGTGGTTAAGTAACTAATTACCAAAGGTTAAACAATCATCTGACTGATTAACTCTCAGATTTGCAAGATTTACTTTTACTCCATAGCCTAGGTTCTTGATTACGGTACCCCAAATTGCCTCCTTGATATTGTAAACATTCATGATCTTTTTTATTTTATCACTTCAATACCACCCTTAGTCAACCTTTCTATAAAGCACTCTCCACTTTTGTTTTCCTAAAATTCTGAGCCTTTCTAAAAATCACTCTGCTCTTTCTAATTGTACAAATGCTGCTTCCCATCCTCACCCTACTTTCATCCTGAGCCAAAGTTTAAGCCTATTCCTTACTTCCTTTTCCCCTGTATGCTGTAACAGTACCTTCTCCCTTATGTGCTATAGAGCTTTTATGTGCCAATGTTGGTTTCTACATCTCTTTGCCCCTTTGTTCTCTGCAGTCCTCCTAGAAGAAAACCATGCAAACCATGCCTAAGTCCTCTTGAGATATTCAACAGTTAGCCGGTGCACATGACATGTGTTGGGTACTCAACACACATCTGCTAAAAAGGAATGGATGAAGATTATAGAGAATAAAATAAATTAAAACTCAGGTTTAGTTAGGAATAGTTTAGTGTATTTGTCAATTATATTCCTTTGATCTGAAGAACAGTAACATAAGGAAAATAACAAATGTGAAATTTAGAGGAAATCCATTCTGAGAGGAAAATTTATAGATGTTGTAATACTAACATTCTAATATTGCTTTATTAATGATACTCAAATGTATTAAATAGGTATAAATTTGTTTTGAGTATATTTGGCTTCACTATATTAAATAGGTATAAATTTTGTTAATTTTAAGAAAATATAGTACATAATCAATGAAAATTATATTTTTATCAACTATAAACAATTTTTATAGCTTGGTTAGTTGGAGGAATAGAAGTGCCATTAAAAGATGAAAGAAAAGGAAGTGGAGTAGGTGTCAGAGGGATAAAGGAAGGATATGTGTGAAAATTATGACTTCACTTCTAGATGGTATAGAAAAACCATAAAGCCCTCTTACTGAAGGAATAAGCATTTAATCAGTTAATTAACCATGGTAGTTGGATTTATTGGGCTAATAAAAAAGATCTATTTTTATTCTCTAAAGCAGTGCTGTCTGACAGAAATATAAAGCTAACCAGACAGGTAATTTTAAATTTTCTAGGAGCCACATTCAAAAAATTATTTTCAATAATATATATGTATGTCAATATGTTACTCAAAATATCATTTCAACATGTAATCAATACTTAAAAACTATTAGTGAGTCATTTACAACTATATCTTCAAAGTCCAGTATGTACTTAACACTTACAACATATTTCAATCCAGACCATGCAATTTCAAGTGGCATGGCTATTATATTGGACAGCATAGCTCTAAAACTACTGATATGTAAAAAGAAAAAAAACTATCTTTTTTTGCAATAGAACTCAGTTGTTAAGCTCCACTATAAAATATACATAAGACTCCTAATGTAAAAGCTGATTTCAAAATTTGACAATGACAATGATAATGATAAAGTAATTATAGTTCTAAGCACAACTTTTATTTACTTAATTCTCACAAGAACCCTATGAGGATTAGAATTTCCATTTTACAGATGAAGACACAATCCCAGGCCACCAGGACACAAGAAAATATTATGCATCTCATGAAATAATAAAGGAGAATCCTATGTACTGATATGGGAAGATACTCAAACTGTATACAAAAACATTTATATGCGACAGTAAGTTAAACATCAGGTTGTGGAACCAAATGTTTACCATAACATTATTTTTCTAAAGGAATAGTACAAGAAAATAAGAGACATTCTCACATATCTGTACTTTCACATAAAACACTTAATTGCAATTCTACTTATATCGAAAAAGGTTTGGAAGGTTAGAAACAAACAGTTAACATTGATTATCCCAGGACGAGGGGAGGTTAAGTTAAAAGGTCTCTTTAAAAAATTTTTTTTATCTTTTTACATAGTTTTAAATCATGCATATAATGAATGTTGGTAGGGAGAAAAAATACGGATACGGCAGGCTTTTAAAAATAGTAGCACAAAAGAGAAACAGCCTTGAACTGGACAGTAATCCTAAAAATTCTGAAACCACAGCAAAGGATATGGAGCATCAGAGAGCTTGGCCCTCCAAAATTTTACCAGGTATATATAATTTAAGAACTTCTTTTTGAGAGAAATATATATTTTAGAAAACTATTCAAAATGTGCCTATCCTATATGATCTAGACTTTATCTCTAGATAAACCTAGACTATAGGAAGCATCTATAATCATCTTGCTCCTCTAAAGAAGGGGTCAACAAAGTTTTTTGGTAAAGTATATATTTTCAGCATTGCAGGCCATATGGTCTCTGTCATAACTATGTCAACTCTGCCATGGTAGCTGAAAAATAGGTAAACAAATGGTAGGGCTGTGCGCCAATAAAATGTTCTTTTTTTTTTTTAGACAGAGTCTCGCTCTGTTGCCCAGGCTAGAGTGCCATGGCGTCAGCCTAGCTCACAGCAACCTCAAACTCCTGGGCTCAAGCGATCCTGCCTCGGCCTCCCAAGTAGCTGGGACTATAGGCATGCGCCACCATGCCCGGCTAATTTTTTCTATATATTTTTAGTTGGCCAATTAATTTCTTTCTATTTTTTAGTGGAGACGGGGTCTCGCTCTTGCTCAGGCTGGTTTCGAACTCCTGACCTTGAGCAATCCACTCACCTCGGCTTCCCAGAGTGCTAGGATTACAGGCATGAGCCACCGCACCTAGCCAAAATATTCTTTATAAAAACACTAGATTGGGTCCATGGGTAATAGTTTGTCAACCCCTGCCCCAAAGAATAATGTTCAAGGAGTCTGGTTATGACATTACGATACCTTCCCGCTAAAAAAGAAAAATTTAAGACAGAGCTACTAGAAATCTTCTGTGGCATTTAGCAAAGGAGTGTTGGTGAGGAAACCATGTACCCCATCTCCTAGGAAACTCCCCTTCAAAACATTTTTTTTTTAGTTTTATATGGCAAGAAACATTTTCTTACCATGGGAAATTTATCTTTCTCTTTAGGGGAATGAAAATCATGTAACTGATGATGTCTGTAAGAAAGATCAGAAAAATTGGTACATTAATTTATAAAACTGGTTTCAAGCCAGGTTTTCTAATATTATCTAGCAACTCTTTCTAGGTCTTGATCTTTATTCTTGCTACTTTCTCCCTAATCTGAATTTTAGCTATCTTTACTTTCTATTTGATTGTCCTGAAAACTAAGGGGGAAATTTTTTTAAAAAGCAACTCACCTGTGACTTCATCATATTCTGCTCTCTTCCAAAAGGGCAGATGCCTAGAAAAGCAAAACTGGTGATCAGAATGAAGTTTTCACAGCCCGAGCCAAGACTGTAGCTTCCACATTCACCAGTCCAGAAACAAGCACCACTGGAAGTCAGGTGGATTAAAAACTACCCTGTGGGAGAAGGTTTAAGCCTCACAGGAGGACCAGCAAGCACCAAATGAAAGAGGCATTAACTTTTATTCCTCTTCTGCCTATGTGATCATATTGAACTTGGACTGTTTTTTTAATTGGATAGATATGAAGATATGTTTCCAGCTGATTTACTAACTTATTGTTCCCCCCTAGGAACCAGAAATTCTATTTGTAGAACATTATAGCAAGGCAATAACCATGAACTGATACATAAAAAGAATTTAACTGCAGATGTAGCTCCCTGGCAGTAAGAATGGGAATGACCAAAAGGAAAACTGAGGAATGCATTTTTTTATTTCCCAGAAAGAACTAGCAGCTGAATTCCAGTCACCTCCCAAAGGCCCTCTTAGATTTCCTCCCAACTCAGCAAACTCTCCAGCCAAAACAATATTCATGGACTAAAATATTAATTTTAAGGTGTTTTCTATTTAAATTGTTATTGCTGATTTTCAACAGTCCTACTGTCTACATACAGAAATGGAGATAGGTTTGAACCATCGATAAAAGAGAATACACCACCATGCAGGAAGGTACATACGGGTAAATTTTTCTCAGTCCCAGGATGAGTCTCGTGGACAGGGCTGAACCGATTCAGAGGAAGCGGGGGCTCCCATGACAGGAAGACTGTTTTATATGGGGTACCCCCAGCTGTATCAAAACAGATCTGGAAGGAAACAAAAGAAATAGTCATATTCATCTTTGGAACCCCAGCAGATGCTCGATAAATGTTTCTTAAATAAAATATAAAATGATTTCAATAAACTTAGAAAGACAAGGACTAAAATCACACTTTTCAAAAGAATCCTATCTTTTGATTTGTTTGGTTTTGTTGTAAAACGATCATTTCTGGGGTGGGCACCAGAAAAGACTGAGAAAAGATGAGAGAAGGCTGTTTGTTGACCTTAAGAACTCAACAATTGCCTAGGACCTGTGGAAATTTAATGTTCTCAGTAAGTAAAAGCCTTTCCCAGTAAATTGCGCCTGACCGTCATGACACACTGACCCCATTATTGTCTCCTCCAATGTTCGCAATCCTCGGGTCTGGCAACCACAATACCCTACCGAATTCCCCAAGTCCATCACGGCACTGACCTCACGGACGGCCCCATCGTTGAGTCCACACCTCCTCAACCACCGCCAATCACTGATTCCCCAGAGCTCCCTAAATCGCTGACCCGAGTCATCCGCATCAATCAGTCCACCTGCACTCCATTCCCGAGCCCACAGACACCCCATCATCTCAGCACTTCCTAGTTACCAATCACACAGCTCACTCCGCCCCTGATCCCAACACTGATCCCACATACATCCCCCACCAGTAACTTCATAAACCTTCCATCGCTGACCTCACAGACCCCTCCCCGGCCATGACCAATCCCGCGGACTCACTCATCACCGCACATATGCCCCTCCTCACCCCCAGCTCGACTTTCAGGTCCCGAAATGCCCATCACAGCTTAACGGGGACGACTGTCACATCCATATTGGGGAAACCCCCCACTTCCTGTTGGCTAGCCAAGCGCCGGGCTCCCGAGGCTGCGCTGTTCCGTACCGGGCGGTTCTGCCCATTCCGCTGCTTGGACGGCTTTGTTCAGGAGGCAATATGGCTGCCCCCTGGCGCGGTTTCTGTAGAGAGCCGCCATCTTGAAAACCCGCTCGATTCCGTACAGGAAGAAGGATGCCCCAGGTTCCGAGCCCCAGACTGGGCTGTACCACCGTGGCAGCGAAGGAAGGGGAAGATGGTGGGAAGGTGAACGCTTTTGCAGAGAGATTTTACAGGGGGATTGGAGAAGTTGCAGTGATATAGTCCTCTATTGGAAGGATGCATTTTGTTAAAGAGAAAGGATTTGAAATGGCACAATATTTTCATTAGTGATTCTACACCAATGTGTTTGTAAATGGTACAGCCCTATACCGGGAGTTTCGACTTGGTGAGAGCAGGTGAAAATGTGGAATGGTAGAGACATCTCCTTGGGGCTTCCAAGGGAGGGGGAAATATGAAGTTTATGCTAATAACAATGATAAGGAATTCTTTTAATGGAAATTGCAAATCCAGTAATAAACCGAAAGGGCAGACTGAAGGAAAAAGAAGAAAACTGAGAGACAAGGAGGAGTAGTACACTGAGGAACATAAAGCGGGACAGTAAGAAGCAGAGAATCAGAGGCTAAGAAAACAGGGATATGGGGGCAAAGGAGAGACCTTGAAGGAGCAGAGATGGGACACTGCCGGGCAAAACATGGGAGACATAGGAACAGAAGTGGGGAGCAAAGGGGCAGAGCGCGAGAGACAGAGATTGAGATACAGAGAGATTTAAAAACAGGGAACGGACTTTAAGGAAGAGATTGAGGTTAGAGTTCAGAAAGTTAAAGATGCAATCACGTGATTAAAATAAAAATAAGCAACCAAACAAAACACTTGCTGCAGAAAGAGAATATTAATACTATCTTAACCTTTAGACCTTATATTAAGCTTTTATACTATTGGGAAATAAATGCATATTAACAAACTCATGCTTCGTGTGTGTTTATGGATAAAATTTTGGAACCTTAATTTTCCCAAGGGCCATGATTTTTAATATTTTTCTATTTTTAGTAGAGATGGGGTCTCGCTCTTGCTCATGCTGGTCTCGAAGTCCTGAGCTCAAGTGATCCTCCTGCCTTGGCCTCCCAGAGTGCTAGGATTACCCGTGTGAGCCACTACACCCGGTCCCATGATTTTTGACATATAATTAAATAAGCAGCATTTTTCCATTTAGCAATTTTGTTTCTTGTGTCAAAACAAGTCCAGACTTAGATAAAGAGAGACTTTATTCAGAAAGACTATTGCAACAGGAAGAACACTCCAATCTCAGAAATCTGCAAGCATCTCAAAATGAAACAGAAAAAGGCTTTTTTATATGGAGGAGTAAGAAGAGTTAGTGGGAACTTTGTGGGGAAGGAGGACATGAAGTGGGGTGTGCAGGTGGGAAAACGAGAGCATATCCACGGGAATTGTTTCTGTGAGGTTCTGAGAATGAGGTGCTAAGCAGGGATGTCCTTCATCTTAGAGCTTTAGTGTAGTATTTCATCTTAGGGGCCAGAGAAAATTTAGGGGTCTGTGGGGAGGAAAGAAGCTTGACTAAAGTTTGGTCAAGACAAAACAGAGGGCAAAATAATGGCTGATTGTGAGCACTTGGCCACTCACATCTAACTTCTATACCGACTAAGTGAGGACATACAGAGAAAAAACACAAAACAGAAGCTACAGTCTTTTTATAACCTAAATTGGAAGTGACATACAATTACTTCTTCTATATTCTATTTGCTGAAAGTGAGTCACTAAAACCAGCCCACAATCAGAGGAATGGGAATTGAGCTTCCTTTAAGGGGAGGGTTTTCAAAGAATGTATGAACATATTCCTGAAACCATAATGCTACAGAGCTTCTATCCTATGATTCAGAAACCCCACTTGCAGAATATATCCCAAAGATATACCAGCAGAAAAAAAAAGACAAAAATCTTCAGTCAAAACATTATTTATTATAGGACTATTTTTAATACCAAAAGACAACCCAAACATGTGCTAACAGGGGCTGGTTGTGTAAACTATAGTATACACACAAAACACTACTACTAAGCTGTGTGTGGTGGGGATAAGGAAGTGAGGGAGGGAGGCAGAAATATCTTTATGTACTAACATGGCGAACTTCCGGATATAATATTATGTAAAAAGCACAAAGTGAGAAATTGAAAATAGTTCACAGTGTCTCATGCCTGTAATTCTAGCACTCTGGGAGGCTGAGGTGGGTGGATCCATTCGAGCTCAGGAGTTCAAGACCAGCCTGAGCAAGAACAAGACCCTGTCTCTACTAAAAATAGAAAGAAATTAGTTGGACAACTAAAAATATATATAGAAAATTAGCTGGGCATGGTGGCACATGCCTGTAGTCCTAGCTTACTCAGGAGACTGAAGTAGGAGGATCGCTTAAGCCCAGGAGTTTGAGGTTGCTGTGAGCTAGGCTGATGCCATGGCACTCTAGCCCAGACAACAGAGTAAGACTCTGTCTCAAAAAAAAAAAAAAAAAAAAAAAAGCAATAGTGATATAACACCTCTTGTATTATCCTTGAAAGAGCTAGAACCCATTCTACTAAGTGAAGTATCCCAAGAATGGGAAAACAAGCACCACATATACTCACCATCAAATTGGCATTAACTGATCAACACTTAAGTGCATATATAACAGTAACATTCATCTGGTGTCAGGCAGATGGGAGGGGGGAGAAGGGAGTATATAGACACCTAATGAATACGGTGTGGACTTTCTAGGGGATGGTCGTGCTTGTAACTCTGACTTGGGTGGGGCAAAGGCAATATATGTAACTTAAACATTTGTATCCCTATAATGTGCTGAAATAAAAAAAAAAAAGAATACTGAAATCCAAAGTTAAGGTACAAACCATCACCTCCTCCCCTAGTTATTTCCCAGATCACTTCAGATCAATAACCACCCAGGAAGACTGGATGGGGAATGTGAGGCCATACTGTGAATGTTGATACCTGCATGTAAGTCTCCAGGTTTGAGGATGAGATATTGAGCAGAAGCAGCAGTCGTTGGGTGATTGCTGTCATGGGCACCAGTGTCAAAACAATGTATAGACATATTCCCTTCACTTCTCTTACAGGAAAAGTAAAATTTTCTCTCCTTCTCCAGTTAGGTTCTAAGAGGCTCCTTATATAGTAGCTGGTTATTGAGCCAAGTTTCACTAGCTCAATATAGTTTTATGCTATATTGCTCAATATAGTATATACTATACTAGCTCAATAACTACCTTCAGCTCAGTGTCCTGAATTCTTTAACTCTCTGCAGCTTGAACAAGGCTCTGAGAAGTACTACTATACGAGGGAACAAAGCCTATAGTTTCCCTTGGGGAGAGTCATTTTTCAGAAATATATTGTTTCCATGGTTTGAGATTCCTAGTCCTGAATACTGTGGGGGAGAATACATTTCCACCTGTAGTCCCAAATTCTTCTCAAATTAACAAGATTATTGTGATAATTATGTTACATGATGACTGTTAAGGGCTTTGCACACAGTTCCTTCCTTGCATATAGGAAATTCTCAATAAATGATAGTGATTACTACTATTGTTTTTCCTGTATCTTAGTTGGAAGAAGCATTATGTACCTCATGTACCTATGTGCCTCAATGCAAAAGTAATTGAAAATAAGAATTAAAAGTTGCAAGGAGGCTGTTATAGGTTAAATGTGTCCTCCAAAAAAGATATATTGAATTTCTAACACTTCGTACCTCAGAATGTGGCCTGATTTGGAAATAGGGAGTTAAAAATTTCTTAAGTTAAAATGAGGTCATTAAGGCCGGGCACGGTGGCTCACGCCTGTAATCCTAGCACTCTGGGAGGCCGAGGCGGATGGATTGCTCAAGGTCAGGAGTTCGAAACTAGCCTGAACAAGAGTGAGACCCCGTCTCTACTATAAATAGAAAGAAATTAATTGGCCAACTAATATATATAGAAAAAATTAGCCGGGCATGGTGGCACATGCCTGTAGTCCCAGCTACTCAGGAGGCTGAGGCAGGAGGATTGCTTGAGCCCAGGAGTTTGAGGTTGCTGTGAGCTAGGCTGATGCCACGGCACTCACTCTAGCCTAGGCAACAAAGCGAGACTCTGTCTCAAAAAAAAAAAAAATGAGGTCATTAGGATAACCCAATATGACTGATGTCATTGCAATAAGAAATAATTTGGACACAAAGAAAGACACAGAGGGAAGATGATGTGAAGACATACAAGGATAAGGCTGGTCTCTATAAGCCAAGGAACACCTGAGACTTCTAGAAGCTAGGAAGAAGGCCTGGAAAAGATCCTTCCCTAGTGCCTTGAAAGGGAGCAGGCCCTGCTAACACCTTCATTTTAGACTTACAGAGTCCAGAACTGTGATACTTTTCTGTTGTCCTAAGCCACCTAGTTCATGGTACTTTGTTGCAGAATCCATAGGAAAGAAATACAGAGGGAAATTAAGGGACCCAAGATTAAAACCCATGGCCATCTGATTTTAGAACCAAAGTCTTTCCACTACACCAAGCTCCTAGTGTTTGGGGTAAACTGGAGAAATCACTAAGAATTCCAAGATCCTGCATCCATCCACAGAAAGGTCAATTTACATTCTTGAAATGGAAAAACACAAAAAGCCACAATTATTGAATTTAATCAATCCAACTTCCCATCTTTCTACAAGAAGAATTTTACATATAACTTTAGAAATACATGTTAAATCCCTCAAGTATATTTTCTAAATCTCAACATTTTCTAAGGTGGGCTTTCTTAACATCCTCTACAGGAAATAATTGCATGGCTAAAATTACGTTAGGCCAACATTAACAATATTGTATGTCTGATTCTTGTATGGGGTATAATCAGGTGCATGCAGCTTAAAAACAGACTATGTGGCCGGGTGCGGTGGCTCACGCCTGTAATCCTAGGACTCTGGGAGGCCGAGGCTGGTGGATTGCTCAAGGTCAGGAGTTCAAGGTTAGCCGGAGCAAGAGCAAGACCCCACCTCTAGTATAAACAGAAAGAAATTAATTGGCCAACTAATATATATAGAAAAAATTAGCTGGGCATGGTGGCTCATGCCTGTAGTCCTAGCTACTCAGGAGGCTGAGGCAGGAGGATTGCTTGAGCCCAGGAGTTTGAGGTTGCTGTGAGCTAGGCTGATGCCATGGCACTCACTCTAGCCTGGGCAACAAAGTGAGACTCTGTCTCAAAAAAAAAAAAAATGACTATATATGTCATTTGTTCTGTTAGGCTAATCATTTATTTCATAATTTTAAGATTTACATGCCATAGTGAAAATGCCCACCATTTATATATTAAGACTTTCCTATTATCTTTAATAAAAAATTAAATACTACATTAGAAACATGATTTTACCTGTAAAATTTTATCACAGAGATGTAGCCCCCAAACTCATCAAATCTATGATTTGTGCAGTATCTATTAAGGCTTGAACTGATATTGGACCATTCTTAGGATTTCACTACAGTATGAATTCTCTGGTGTACAGTGAGTTGTGACTTCTGGATGAAGGCTTTCCCACATACAGCACATTGATAGGGTTTCTCCCCAGTGTGAATTCTCTGATGTACCACAAGGTCTGACTTCTGGGAAAAGGCCTTTCCACATTTAGCACATATGTAAGGTTTCTCTCCTGTATGAATTCGCTGATGTCCTGGGAGGTGGGACTTCTGAGAGAAGACTTTCACACATTCAGAACATACATAAGGTTTTTCTCCTGTGTGAATTCTCTGATGTCCAATGAGATGTAACTGCTGACAGAAGGCTTTTCCACATTCAATGCATTTATAGGGTTTCTCTCCAGTGTGTGTTCTCTGATGTATGATGAGCTGTGACTTCCGGGAAAATGTCTTCCCACATTCAGTACATTCACAGGGCTTCTCCCCAGTATGAATTATCTGATTTATAATGAGTTCTGACTTCCTGCTGAAGGCTTCCTCACACTGAGCACATTTGTAGGGTTTCTCACCAGTGTGAATTCTTTTATGTATGATGAGGTGGGACTTCTCACAGAATGCTTTCCCACATTCAGTACATTCATATGGCTTCTCTCCAGTATGAGCTCTATGATGTACAGTAAGCTGTGATTTCTGGGAAAAGGCCTTCGCACATTGATCACATTCATAGGGTTTTTCCCCAGTATGTATTCTCTGATGTATAATGAGGGGTGATTTCTGGGAGAAGGCTTTCCCACATTCACTACATTCATATGGTCTTTCACCAGTGTGAACTCTCTGATGTATAATGAGGGATGATTTCTGAGAGAAGGCTTTTCCACATTCAGAACAATCATAAGGTTTCTCCCCTGTATGAGTTCTCTGGTGTACAATGAGGTGTGACTTCTCGATGAAGGCTTTCCCACATGTACCGCAATCATAAGGTTTCTCTCCAGTATGAATTCTTTGATGTATAAAAAACTGTGACTTCTTGAGAAAGGAGTTTCCACATTCAATATATAAACAGGTTTTCTCCCCAGTTTCAACATTTTCATATTGAGCAAGAGATTGCTTATTGCTGAGAATCTTTCCACACTGAGTACCTCCACAGTGTTTCACTCCATTATGAATTTTCTCATGCTTAGAGTGGGAATAACTGTAGTTAACTGTTCTCCCACACCCAAAATTCTCATCAATGTTTTTTCTTACATAACTCCTGTGCCAAGTGAGTAGGTTCATATTAGGTTTCAACCTCTTTTCAAAAGAATCACACTTATCCAGTCTTTGTTTTGAGGTATTTAGCTCTCTGGAGTCATGAAGCATTTTTCCAAATGTATTATATGGGTGGCTTGAATCTTCAGTAATTGTTTTGTTGTTGATGACGGTGACTTGCCTGACAAATTTGTCTTGGTTTTTCTGATCTCTCTCCCACTGGTCCTCACCTTGCCAGACTTTTATAATAGAGTGCCATGAATGATCCACTGTGACACATTCCAGTATGTCCTTATGAAAGAAAACATCTCTAAATATATCCAGTTGAGGGATGCCATGTCTGCTCTCCCTATCTGAAAAATAAAGAGATAAAATAAAACAGATATTTAAAAAGGACTTAATAGAAGACACAAAATGTAGAACAAATGAATGATCTAGTATAGTCCAGGAAGACAATAAATTGGGAGGGGGGTCAGGTTATTGAAAACCTAATAAAACATGTAAGTTTATCAAGTGAATAAATAAAGATTAATGTTACTTCTAATATTCATGACATGAGGTCATCACAGAATTCTACTCCTTAGAAAACAAGTAGGAAAACTACAAGGCAGGCCACAAGTTAAAAAGTGTTTACTCATTAACTACTGTTATTTCATTGGGTAAGAAAGTGGAGTTTATTCTTTCCTAGGGTTTTCCCACTTCCCACTACTACTGGCATTAATACACAGAGGTGGAAAACTCAGTTTGACACTGATGGTAGAGCAGCTAAATATTTAAAAAGGAGAATTTGAAAGCAAAAAAGTCATAAAAGAACTGAGATAATAATAAATTCTATATGTCCCCACATGTATGCTAAAATGTTTGTGCAAGGAGGCCCTAGAGAGCCTAGCAATAATTGAAACCTTAGGGAAACTTCCAGACTTGCTTAAATCGTAACCGACACAAAACTTAGGCATCAATGTATGGGAGCTTTACTCACTTTAACCTCTGGCCAAATATTACTTCACCTCTACTTTTTGCAGATGTAGGGAAGTTCCTTAGGGGCCAGGATTTAAAATATGAAATATATATATATCACAGATATCAGCAACTGCACACTATGGGAGAAAGAGATATCATGGTTTGACTGCAAGTAAATTAATTTTCTCTAAAATAAAAAAGAGCTACTGTCAGAAGAACAAGAAAAATCCAGAGGCACTACAACATACTATCTAAAGGTACAGTTTTCAACCAAAAATTACTATATATGTAAAGAAACAGGAAAATGTAACAAAATCAAATCAATCAATAGAAATGCTTCAAGTAGGTGCAGATGTTGGATTTAGCAAACAAAGTCTTCAAAGAAGCCACCGTAAACATATTAAAATAATTAAATAAAAATATGCTAAGGAATGAGTAAATAACGAGGCAATATCAAAAGAGAAAAAATAAAACAAAACAAAGAGGTGGTAAAGAAGAAATTTTGAGAGTAATGGAATTGTTCTATATCATGATTGTGAGAGTAGTTAAATGACTCTAAGCCATGGTCAAAATTTTAAAAAAGAGTAAACTTTATTCTATGTAAACTTCAATTTAAAAAAATAAAAGAACCAAATAGAAATTCTAAAGTTGAAATAAAAACTTATTTCACCAGACAGGCTCAGTAGTAGATTTGAAAGGGCAGAAGACAAAATCAGAATCAGTAAACTTGAAGATCTATCACCAGAAATCATCTAATCCAAAGAACAAAAAGAAAAAATATTTAAGAAAAATAAGCAAAACACCAGAGATCTGTGGAACAATATTAAGTATTCCAGCATATGTGTAATTGGAGTGTCAGAAAGATGTGAAAGGGGTAGAAAAGGTATTCAAAGAAATAATGTCTGAAATATTACCAAATTTGGTAGAAAACATTAATATACAGATCCAAGAACTTAACAAACTACAGGTAGTAGACACTGAAATACAACATAGTTAAGCTGCTGAAAAATAAAGACAAAGAAACTCTTGAAAGCATCAAGAGAAAAATAGAATTGGAGAATAATAGAATTGTCAGTTGACTTTTCAACAACAAAAAAATGGAGGCCAGGAAACATCAGAATAACATATTGTGTCAAAAGAAAATACTTGACCAAGAATTCTGCATTCAGTGAAACTTTCCCTTAAAAATGATGACAAAATGAAGACATTTCCACATAAACAAAAATATGTTGCTAGAAGAACAGACCTACCATCTGGCTAAAGATCAATGATAACTCAAATATACAGGCCATTATATTTTTAAAAATATGTGAGTGCTATGCTTTGAATGTCTTCCAAAGTTAATTGGAAGTTAATTGGATTAGTTATTGGAAACTTAATCCCCAATGCAACAGTGTTGAGAGGTGGAAACTTTAAGAGGTGATTAAGTCATTAGGGCTCTACCCTCATGAATGGATTAATGCTGTTATTGCATGAGTGGATTGGTTGTCATGAAGGGGGGGTTCCTGATAAAAGGATGAGTGTGGCCCCATCTCTTCCCTCTCTCTCATGCATTCTGTTGCTCTTCTGCCTTCTCCCATGGGATGATGCAGCATCATGGCCCTTGCCATATGCTAGATCAATGCTCTTGGACTTCCCAGCCTCCAGAATAGTGGGTCAAATAAATTTCTGTTCATTTATAAATTACCCAGTCTATTATAATGGCAGAAAATGAACTAAGATAGTGGGTAAATATCACATATTTGAATATGTATATTTATTCCTCTTCCCATGTAGTATCTTTAAGAGACTTTTTAAAGCATATATAATAACATCGTATTACCAAATTTATGACAAATATATGTGACTACAAAAGAACAAAACAGCACAAGATGGTTGGAAAGGGTGGAAAATGGAGCTATGCTACTGTAAAGTTTCTATATTTTGCCGGGGGAGAAAAGCAGTATTAACCTGAAGTAGGCTGTAGGAAGTTAATGATCATATTGTAATTCCTAAAGAAACATTCCCCTCTCTCTCTCTCACACACACACACACAAAGGCAATTCCAGATAAACACATACAAAGAACAACAGCTAAAAAGTCAGCAGAATAATTAAAATGATATACTAAAAAATATTCTTATAACACAAAAGAGGATTCCATTTATATGAAATGTCCACCAGAACAAGCAAATCTACAGAGACAGAAAGCAGATTAGTGGCTGCTAAGGGTTGTGGGGAAAATGAAAAAAAGGGTGATAGCAAAAGGGTACAGGGTTTCTTCTTGAGGTGATGAAAATATTCTAAAATTGACTATGGTGATGGTTACACATATCTATGAACATACTAAAAACCTAGTAAACACTACATAGTGTTTACTCATATGGCATGTGAGTTATAGCTCAAAACTGTTAAAAAAAAATAACAACAGAAAATGTCAGAGTATGGCTAATAAAACATTAACTGTCCGCATCCACACTGTGTATCGAAGCTTATCTTCCACTATCTCCCAATAATTATCTCTTACTGAAGTCAAGTGAGCCTAGCAAATTTCTGCTAGAAAAGCCACGTTGAGTCCCGCTTTCGGGTGCAATGTCTCTGCCTCTGCACGGACGCTACGCAGCTCCCCATCAGTCCCGGGGTCTGCAGTGGGGCAGGGAGCCCCCCTCACAGCTGGGGCCACAGCGCCTGCAGGGGAAGCGTGGAGCCCGCAGGCTCCATCCTCCTGACCTCCCCCGAGTGTGTATGCCTCCCCACAGAGCCCTTCCGTCTTGCGAATGAACCACCCCATCACCTTCTCCTTCACTCTGAATGTCCCCATCACTTCTCCAGAGTTTTACAATCTTCCTTCCAAGAGGAGTCATCTCTAGGTAACCATCCACCTGCGACTTTCGACCCTCTCCTTGAAAGCAGTGCACTCAGTCTGCTTCTAGTCTGCTATCTTCCCACAAGTTAGAGAAAAGGAACTCTTACACGCCGTGGGTGGGGGTGTAAGTTTGCCATTATAAATGGAGGTTTCTTGATCCAGCAATGCCACTACTGGTTATTTATCCAAAGGAAAGGAAATCAGTGTATCAAAGGGATACCTGCACCCCCATGTTTACTGCAGCACTATTCACAATACACAGATCTGGAATCGTCCTAAGTGTCCATCAAATGAGTAGATAAAGAAAATGTGGGGACCGTGTGGTGGCTCATGCCGGTAATCCTAGCACTCCGGGAGGTGGAGGCAGGAGGATTGCTTGAGCTCAGGAGTTCCACATCAGCCTCTGCAAGACCCCATCTCTACTAAAAATAGAAAGAAATTAGCCAGTCAACTAAAAACAGAAAAAAACTAGCCAGGCCTGGTGGTGCAAAGCTAGCCAGGCATGGTGGCATACGCCTGTAGTCCCAGTTACTCAGGAGGCTGAGGCAGAAGGATTGCTTGAGCCCAGGAGTTTGAGGTGCTGTGAGCTAGGCTGAAGCCACAGCACTCTAGCCTGGGCAACAGAGCGAGACTCTATCTCAAGAAAAAAAAGAAAAGAAAGAAAGAAAATGTGGTATATATACATGGTGGAATACTATTCAGCCATAAAAAATGAAATCTTTTACAGCAACATGAATGGAACTGGAGGTCATTGTGTTAAGTGAAATAAGCCATGAATAGAAAGACAAATATCTCATGTTCTCACTCATATGTGGGAGCTAAAAAAGTCAGTTTCATGGAGGTAGAAAGTAGAATGATAGTCAACCAGACGCTGGGAAGGGTATGGGGAGGAATGAAGAGAGGTTAGTTAATGGGTACTAAGATACGTTAGATAGAAAAGAGTAAGTTCCAGTGTCCGATAGCACAGTAGGATGACTATAGTTAAAAGCAATATATTATATATTTCAAAATAGCTGGAAGAGAATATTTCAAATGTTCTCAATACAAAGAAATCATAAATTTTCAAGGTGATGGATATTCTAAATACCCTGATTCGGTCATTGCATATTGTATGCACGTATCAAAATATCAAATGTAGCCCATAAATATGTACACATGTTATGCATTGATTTAAAAAAATATTAAAGACCTGAGAAAGTCCTAAACTCTCAAAGCTTAGCTTTAAATATTTGATACATAACCTCTATATTGTTAAAAAATATTTTTATAATTTTACGTGTTCATTTTTATGCAGTACATCATAGAGATTAAGGGCATTTACTATAGAGCAGGAATTGGCAAACATTGCTTTTAGGAAAAGATCAGATAAAAATATTTGAGCTTTGCAGGCCATATAGCCTGTGTTCACAACAACTCAGCTCCACTGTCGTAGGGTAACGGCAGCCACAGACAATAGTAAATAAATGAGTGTGGCTGTGTTCTCATAACATTTTATTTTATATATACTGAAATTATAATTTCATATAAGCTTCATGTGTCAAGAGGTATTATTCTGTATCAATTATATTTTTTGTTTTCTATATGTTATGATATTTTGAAATGTTGGGCAGGAGGCTTTGCTGGCTGGGAAAGACTGCCCCTCTCGGAGCTAGCTAACATGGTAACTTTCCGGAAAGCACTCCTCTCCTATGCAAACCAACCAATCCCAAATCCATGCCCCCAACCACTTCTTTTTATCTAACTCTCACACACCAAGCGAATATTTCCCCCCTTCCCTAAATCAACCTCGGGCCACGTACCCGTCAACTAAAGACAACCCTATGCCCCAAAGCCCTTCTGAATTATTCAAATGAGCCAATCCTGACAAGTTTACCCTGCCCACCTGGCCTTTCCCAAAGAAATCACAATAAACGCTGCGTCTTAAGCTTTCCCCTCCCTTCCTTCTGCCTCCTGACTGACAGGGTACACGGCACGCCCTGCCCCTGATTTCTATGGGAACGTTGAGCAACGTTAAGCATTTATTTCAATGGCATTGACCTCTCCATGCCAACAGTCACCTTTATAAATTAAGACCAGAGCACAAATCATATTCTTCTTTTAAATTTTTTTCCAGCCAGTTACAAATGTAAAAAACATTCTTAGGCCCTAGGCAGCCCAAAAACAGGCTGCTGGCTGATTTGGCCTGAGAGTGGCAGTTTACTAATCAAATCTGCCTTGCCCTCCCACTAAGTAGCTGTTTGTCCTCAGGCAAGTTGATCAATCCCTATGTGTCTTTATTTCCTATGTGTCAATGAGATTAATAACGGAACCAAGTTCATAGAGTTGTTACTATATTCGAAGCACCTAGAACAGTGCATGGTACGCAGTCACAATGACTTGTGACATCTCATAGGTGGAGTCGGGCCAGACTGCACAGGTTAAGAGCGAGTAGTGCTCCAGAAGACTGGCCCAGCGTGCCTGTGCGTCGCTCCTTCTGCGTCGTTTTCTGACAGGGGTGGGGCGCGCAGTGCGGCAATGGGGTGGACGGCGCCGGGGAGAGCCGCGCGCCCGCCCGTGGCCGCGCGTGTGCACCGCCGCCGCGCGGGCATCCTGGACGCCGCAGTTTGCGGTCCGAGGGCGCGCGCTCCGGCGAGCCCCGCAGGCGGAGCCCTCTTCTGCGCATGTGCGCAACCCCCCTCCCCCCCCACACACACCCCAGCCCCCTTCCCCCCGACTCCCCGCCAGCGGTCCTCACTGCGCTGCCCAGGGGCCGGGGTGAGTCCCGAGGGGCCGTGCCCTTCATCCCGCCGGCCTCGGTGCGCGCCGGGGATGCGGCAAGCCGAGGAAGAGGATGCGGGCTCGGAAGAGGTGGGGAAAGAACAACGGGGCTCAGCGGGACTTTGGGGTAGGCGGGGCCCGGCGTGTGTCAAAAGCGGTGGTTTCGGGGGTCTGCGTTCCTGCCAGCCTGGGGACGTGACGCAGCACGCTGGCACTGCAGGTGTCGCGCTCCGAAGCGCATCCAGCGGTCCTTGTGCGCACGCGTGGCGGGCGGAAAGGCGAGGCGCGCCCTCCCGGCTGCGGGGAGTGAACCAAGCTTTCCCGCAGCTCGGAGACGTACCTGCTTTTCCGGAGGTGTCTAACCCCAACAGCGACCTGTAAGTCAGTGTTTTTCTAACGGCGGAGCGGACTGCAACCCGTTAGTAGCATGGGCCGTGAAACCTAGTGAGTCAAGCTTTGTATCTTTATTTACCAGTGCCCCTGCTGAACATTAGAGTATGATTTACGTAGAATGAAATGCACAGAATTTACAGGGAATAAAAGTGTCATATCTGTTGTATACACCTGTGTGACTCCTGCCTCCATCAAAATATATAACATTTCAATCCCCCACAAAGTTCTACCCCTTTGGAATCAACGCCTCCCTACACCTAGCCAAGAAACAGTTTCTCAGTTTCTATCGCTATAGGTTACTCTTGCCATTCTAAAACATCATATAAATGGAATGTCATAGTGTGCACTCTTGTACGAGTGGCATTTCAAACACTTAAGTAAAATACTCTAAAATATCACCTAACAGCTAGGTATTCACCTAACAAGGATTGTTTTATTAAACTTACTGCAGCTATATATATATTTTTTTTTCAGTGACTATTTATTAAGCATCTATGAGCCAGGCACAGTTCCTGGTGCTGGGGCTAAAACCCTGAATCAGACAAAAATCCTATCCTCATGACATTTTTGTTTTAGTAAATACATACAGTCGATAAGCATAAGAAAGGAAGAAATTATGTAATATGTTAGAAGATAATCGTGTTACATACCAAAAAAAGTAGATCAGGGTAAGGGAGATGGGGGGGGTTAAATGTAAATTAAGTAGACAGAGGGAGGTCTCCTTGGTGACATTTGAGCAAAGATTTGAAATAGTGAAAGAATGTGCGGAACAGAGGGAACAGCCAGCATGGATCTACATACACACATAAATTAACACTGGGTAGTTTTGTAAAATAAACTTACCTTAATCCAAAAAATAAAAACTAAAAAGCTCCTGGTATGATACAGGTATTATTTCCAATTTTACTGAGGCTCAGAAAGGTGAAGTGACTTGCTGCAGGTCAAACAGCCAGCAGGTAAATTCAAACCCAAATGCTTGTCCCCTGCTGGCTGTTAGTACCTGTCTGATTACGTCTCCCAACCTAAAACACAGCATTTACTCTTCTTCTCTTTAACTTAAAGCATAGGGACCTGTCCCTCATCTCCCCTGGGGAAGATTTCAGAGGCACTGTTGAATGACTCTCATCTTGTGAATGTTATGTTTTCCAGGGTCTGTTGGTGTCTCTGCCTAGTCCCTGGATCCTACTGAAAAACCAATCCTGGTACATCCTATCTTCAGACTCCAGCATGTCCCTGCCTGCTGTGGCCCTGGTTAAAATCTACAGAAGGCATGACTGAAGGGTCAGAGAACAGTATGTACCCAACTACCCTTTACATAATGATAAATATTTAGCAATATTATATTTGATGACTGTAAGTTACTTTATCTTTGGGGCATATAATCATATTTGTTTAACCAGTTTTTAATTTGTTTCCAACTTTTCTGTATATTAAAAAGTGCTACAACAGATATCTTTGTAGCTAAAATCTTAGTACAACTCTATAATTTTCTTACAGTGAATTCTGGAAGGCCCAGGGGGCATTCCCCCTCAGGTTGGCTTTGTTGATTTACCTGCTGTGGGGAGCTTAGTTAGGCCAGTGATTCTGGGATCTTCTACTCATACCTGGTCCCTCATGGCTCTATCTCTTACCCTACCTCTGCCTTCATAGATATCTGCCTTTACTCAACTGCTACAGAAAATGACCAAGTACCTGGTGAGTTTGCATGTTTCACTATACACAGGTCCACTAGTGCAGGACTGTAAAAATAGCCATGCGAGCCGAAATTGTACAAAGCAATCTCTGTCGTCAATGGTATTTTCCCACTGGTGACAATTGTTCTGTGACTTTAAAAATGTTTTGTTGAAACATTAAACACTTTCTTACTGTTGGTTATACATGTATAGGGAAATGAAAAAGAATAAAACAAATATTTCTTACACTGTGTTAAAACATTAGAAACCTTAAGAATTAAAGTGTTTTCCTTGTTAAAAAAAAAAAGGATCAATCAACAGTAGTTTAAACAGTGCCTTCTTCTCATTGTATAACTTTCAATACAGAGACAGCATCATTTCTGTGCCTTGGCAAATTGAATCAGCTTCCAAAATATTTGATCCTTTGCACTTAGGACAGTCAGGTCTGAACTTGTAGTGGATGCTCAGTAAATGTTTGTGTAATGACTTGATAAATGCATGGCCTGATGAATAAGTATAAAGTATGTCAAATATAGTTTTATATTAGCCACAAAATGGAACATAAAACTAGACAAATGAGCATTGTGTGTAATTTAGCAGAGCGCTAAAGAGGCAGAATGAGATCAACTTTTAGTGTAATGTCACCCAAAATAAAATGGAGCTAAATTTCAATGCCTACCCAACTACCATTTACATAATAATAAACATGCTTAGAATAAGTTGCCAGGAATGTTGGTTTTCTTTCCTTCCATTTTACATGATACTAACCGCTTTAGTTGTAGAAGTAATATGTTGTTACAGGGACCAGTATCCTTCAAGGATGTGGCCGTGAATTTCACCCAGGAGGAGTGGCAGTGTTTGGACTCTCCCCAGAGGGACTTATACAAGGGCGTGATGCTGGAGAACTACTTCAACCTCATCTCAGTGGGTGAGGACCACTTCCCAGTGTTGACTGGATCGTGCCTGGTGGACTACTTTTCCTTTCTCATTTACACCAAATTGCCAACTCTTTGAAGTACTTTTACAAGTGCACATACTTGAGTTTCAGGACATTAAGATCGGCAATCTTTGGGAAGGTATGGCTTTTTGGAGAGTTTCTTTAAAGACCTCTATTTTTGGCTGGGCGCAGTGGCTCAAGCCTGTAATCCTAGCACTCTGGGAGGCCGAGGCGGGCGGATTGCTCGAGGTCAGGAGTTCAAAACCAGCCTGAGCAAGAGCAAGACCCCGTCTCTACTATAAATAGAAATTAATTGGTCAACTAATATATATATATATATATAAATTAGCCCGGCATGGTGGTGCATGCCTGTAGTCCCAGCTACTCGGGAGGCTGAGGCAGTAGGATTGCTTGAGCCCAGGAGTTTGAGGTTGGTGTGAGCTAGGCTGACGCCACGGCACTCACTCTAGCCTGGGCAACAAGCGAGACTCTGTCTCAAAAAAAAAAAAAAAAAAAAAAAAAGACCTCTTATTTTCTAGGGCACCTTCATCAGACAGTCTCTGATGAAGTTCACTATTCAAAGGACTGAAGCCCAAGCATGATAGCTAGGCCCAAATCCCATATTACTTCCCATTACAGGATACAAAATCAACAAGCCAGCTGTGATCCACAAGTTGGAACAAGGAGAAGAACCATGGATAAGAGAGAGAAAAAGCCCAAGGCGGAGGTCTCCAGGTGAGTTAGGTAAAGAGTTGTGTGGATGGAAGTGAGTGAAAGTAAGATCACAGTTGGTCAGTGAAGGTTGGGATTTTTGAGAAGTATGCTACAGGCCTCTCTTAAAGGCCTTGGACCTTTGGAAATAACTGTGGACATCTGACATAAGCTTCATATCTATCTGAACACCATTTCCACGTGTCATCTCTCTGCATCAATTCTCCTTGCATGGCTTTTGGAGAGCAACATTTTCCCCTTCAGGTGTATTCTGCCCATGATTCCTATTAATTTCATTTAGGACTTTGACGGGATTCTTTTTTCTCTTTCATTCTTTTGTAATTGTGGCAAAATATATGTAACATAAACTTTACCATGTTAACCATTTGTAAGTGGCATTAAATGCATTCACATCACATCACTGTACAGTCATTACCTCCATCCATCTCCAGAACTCTTTCATCATTACAAACTGAAACTCTGTACCCCTGAAACAATAACTCCCTATTCACCTCACCCCTAGCCACTGGTGACCACTATTCTGCTTTGTCTCCCTATGAATTTGACTATTGCAGATACCTCTTATAATTGGAATCAAAACAAATCATCATTTGTTTTTTTGTTTTTCCCTTATATCATTTAGCATAATGTCTTCAAGGCTCATCAATGTTGTAGGATGTAACAGAATTTCATTTTTTTATGGCTTGATAATATTCAGCTTTATGTATATACCACATTTTATTTATTTGTTCACCCATTGATGGATACTTGAGTTGTTCCCACTCCTTGGCTATTGTGAATAATGCCGCTATAAATATTGGTGTACAAATATCTGTTTGAGTTGCTGCTTTCACTTCTTTAGGATATATAACTGGAAGTAAAATTGCTGGATCCTATGGTAATTCTATGTTTATGTTTTTGAGGAATCACCATATTGTCTTCCACAGCTACTGAATGATTTTACATTCCCACCAGCAATGCACAAGGGGTCCAGTTGCTCCACATCCTCACCAACACTTGTTATTTTCTGGGGTTTTTAAATAACAGCCATTCTAATGGCTGTGAAGTGATATCTCATTGTGGTTTTGATTTGCATTTCCCTAATGATTAGTGACATTGAGCATGTTTTCATGTGCTTATTGGCCATTTGCATATCTTCCTTGGAAAAATGTCTATCAACTTCTTTGCCCATTTTTAATTGCATTGTTTGTCTTTTTGCTGCTGAGCTGTAGGAGTTTAATATATCCTAGATATTAATCCCTTACAAAATACAGGCATACCTCATTTTATTTCAAGCACTTTGCTTTATTGCGTTCACAGACAATATGTTTTTTACAAATTGAAGGTTTGTGGCAACCCTGCATTGAGCAAGTCTGTTGGCACCATTTTTCCTATAGCATGTGCTCACTTTGTTTCTCTGTGTCACGTTTTGGCAATTGTCACAATATTTCAAATTTTTTCATTTTTATATTTATTATGGTGATCTATGATTAGTGATCTTTGATATTAGTATCATAACATAATACTATAAGACAGTGAACTTAATTGATCAATGTTGTATGTGTTCTCACTTCTCCACTGACCTCTCTCCCTCTTCCTATAACCTGAGACACAGCGTTATTAAAATTAGGCCAATTAAAAATCCTAAAATGACTCCTAAGTGTTCAAATGAAAAGAAGAGTTGCATGTCTTTCACTTTAACTCAAAAGCTAGAAATAAGGCCCGGCGTGGTGGCTCACGCCTGTAATCCTAGCACTCTGGGAGGCCGAGGCGGGCAGATCTCTCAAGGTCAGGAGTTTGAAGCCAGCCTGAGCAAGATCGAGACCCCCGTCTCTAATAAAAATAGAAAGAAATTAATTGCCCAACTAAAAATATGTAGAAAAAAATTAGCCGGGCATGGTGGCGCATGCCTGTATTCCCAGCTACTCGGGAGGCTGAGGCAGTAAGATTGCTTGAACCCAGGAGATTGAGGTTGCTGTGAGCTAGGCTGACGCCACGGCACTCTAGTCTGGGCAACAGAGTGAGACTCTGTCTCAAAAAAAAGAAGAAAAGCTAGAAATAATTAAGTTTAGTGGGGAAGGCATATCAAAAGCCAAGATAGGCCAAAAGCTAGACCTCTTACACTAAACAGCCAAGTTAAAAATGCAAAGGAAAAGTTCTTGAAGGAAATTGAAAGTGTTACTCCAGTGAACACACAGTGATAAGAAAGAGAAACAGCCTTACTGCTGATGCAGGAAAAGTTTGGGTGGTCTGGAGAGAAGATCAAACTAGACATAGACACAACATCCCCATAAGCCAAAGCCTCATGCAGAACAAGGTCCTAACTATATTCCATTCTGTGAAGCCTGGCAGAGGGGAGGAAGCTGCAGAAGAAAAATTTGAAGCTAGGAGAGGTTGGTTCATGAGGTTTAAGAAAAGAAGCTATCTCCATAACTTAAAAGTGCAAGGTGAGATGGAATCAACTCCTGGTGAAGATGCTGTGAACATTGTTGAAAAGAAAACAAAAGATTTAGAATATTATGTAAATTTAGTTGACAAAACAGCAGCAGGGCTTGAGAGGACTGACTCCAATTTTGAAAGAAGTTCTACTGTGGGTAAAATGCTACCAAATAGCATTGCATGCTACAGAGAAATCTTTGTTTGAAAGGAAAAGCCAATTAATGTGGCAGACTTCATCATTGTCTTATTTTAAGAAATTGCCACAGCCACCCCAAACTTCAGCAACCACCACCCTGATCAGTCAGCAGCCATCAACATTGAGGGCAAGACCCTCCATCAGCAAAAATGTCATGACTCCCTGAAGACTCAGATGATCTTTAGCAATTTTTAGCAATAAAGTACTTTTAAAATAAGGTATGTAAATTTTTTAGACATAATGCTAATGCACACTTAATAGACTATGATAAGGTATAAACATAATTTTTATGTACACCGGGAAACCAAAAAATTCATGTACTTACCTTATTGTGATACTTACTTTATTGCAGTGGTCTCAAACCAAACCTGCAGTTATCTCCAAGGTATGCCTGTCTATGATTTGTAAATATTTTCTACCATTCTGTGAGTTGCCTTTTCACTCTCTTGATGGTGTCTTCTGATGTAAAAATGATTTTCATTTTGATGAAGTCTAATTTATCTGTTTTTTTGTTTTGTTGCCTGTGCTTTTGGTATCATATCCAAAAAAAAAAAAAAAATCATTGCCAAATCCAATGCCGTGAAGCTTCCCCTGTTTTTCTTTTAAGTGTTTTATAGTTTTAACTCTTATGTTAGTGAGTTTGATCCATTTTGAGTTAATTTTTGCATATGGTATAAGGTAAGGACCCAACTCCATTCTTTTGTATGTGGGTATGCACTTTCTCCAGTACCTTTTATTCAAACGACTCTCCTTTCCCCATTGAATAGTTTTGGCACCCTTGTCAAAAATCATTTGACTGTAGATATAAGAGTTTGTTTCTGGGCTCTCTATTCCATTCCATTGATTAGAAGTCTGTATTTATGCCAATATCACACCATTTTGATTAGAGTAGCTTTGTACTGAATTTTGAAATCGTGGAGTGTCAGTTCTCCCACTGTGTTATTCTTTTTTCAAGATGTTTTGATGATTTGGGTCCTTTGAGATTCCATTGAATTTGAGGATAGATTTTTCTGTTTCTTAAAAAAATGTGTTTAGGATTGGACTTAGAGTGTTTTTATCTTCATTTTCTCAGCATTGTAGCCTCACCACTACCACCCTTGCATTGTCACAGGGTCTTCTTGCTTTTTAACATTGTGATAGTTTCCTATGGCTGTCATAAAAGATTACCACAAACTGGGTGGCTCAAAACAATAGAAATATATTGTCTCCCTGTTCTGGAGTCCAGAAGTTCAAAAGCAAGGAGCTGCAGGGCCGGCTTCTAGGAAAGTCTAAGGAAGAATCCTCTTTTCCTCTTCCAGCTTCTGGTGGCCCCAGGCATCCTTAGCTTGTAGCTGCACAATTCCTGCCCTGCCTCGGTCTGTGTATGGCCATCTTCTCTGTGGTCTCTATGTCCTCCGTTCTTCTTAAAAGGACACCAGTCATTGGATTTAGGACCCATCCTAAATCCAGGATGATTTCATCTCAAAATCCTTTGCTAGTTACATCTGCAAAGACCCTGTTTTCTAACATCCTGAGGTTTTGAATGGACATGAATATTTGGGAGAGGTTATTCAGACTACTACAGACGTAGAGAATTTCAAACATATACCAAAGTCTATAAAGTAATATGACAAACCCAATGTACCCATTATCCCACTTCTACAATTATCAACCTAAGGCCAATATTTCATCTGTACTACATTCGCTCACCCTCTTGTCACATCATTTTGAAGCAAATTCCCAAGACCATATTTCATCAATAAATACTGGTTTATATCTCTAATAGGTAATGGTATTTTTTTTAAAAAAATAGAGTACTTATACCCAATAAATAACATCATTATTTAATAGATCTAAGTATACGATAAACATATTTCCAACTCTTAGACTCGTTTAATATTTATTGAAGCCTTTATCTTTTCATTCTAGTTAGTTATCCTCTATTTTATTTTATTTATTATAAAATGCTTCAGATCAGTAACTTCTCACAATCACATTTCCCATTCTCTCCTTCATCCCTGCAGAAAGGGTTCTGTCCTTCCCTCCGGTTCCCACTGATACTGACAAAAACAAGCCTCCACACACTTCTGAGTACTCACCCTCCTTCTGTGTGCTTTTCTGCTCATTAGACTAGTGTATTATGTAGTGGTTAAGAGCACAGACTAAACCAGACTGCCTGGTTGAAATCTCAGCTCCACTTCTTAATAGATACACGAATTTGTACAGGTTGCTAAACTTTTTACCCTAATTTCGTCATCTACAAAATGAGAATAATAACACTATCTAACTCATAAGGTTGTAATGAGATCTAAAAGAGTTCACATGTGTAAAATATTTATGCGCCTAACACATAATTAATACCATATAAGTATTAGCAATTTGGATATGTAACCAAAAGCACAGGCAACAAGAACAAAAAAACAGATAAATTAGACTTCATCAAAATGAAAATCATTTTTACATCAGAAGACACCATCAAGGAGAGTGAAAAGGCAACTCACAGAATGGTGAAAATATTTACAAATCATAGACAGGCATACCTTTGGAGATAACTGCAGGTTTGGTTTGAGACCAACTGCCAATAAAGTAAGTATCACAATAAGGTAAGTACATAATTTTTTGGTTTCCCAGTGTACATAAAAATTATGTTTATACCTTATCATAGTCTATTAAGTGTGCATTAGCATTATGTCTAAAAATTTACATACCTTATTTTAAAAAGTACTTTATTGCTAAAATTGCTAAAGATCATCTGAGTCTTCAGGGAGTCATGACATTTTTGCTGATGGACGGTCTTGCCCTCAATGTTGATGGCTGCTGACTGATCAGGGTGGTGTTGCTGAAGTTTGGGGTGCTGTGGCAATTTCTCTTAAAATAAGACAATGATGAAGTCTGCCACATTAATTGGCTTTTCCTTTCAAACCAAAGATTTCTCTGTAGCATGCAATGCTATTTGGTAGCATTTTACCCACAGTAGAACTTCTTTCAAAATTGGAGTCAGTCCTCTCAAGCCCTGCTGCTGTTTTGTCAACTAAATTTACATAATATTCTAAATCTTTTGTTTTCTTTTCAACAATGTTCACAGCATCTTCTCACCAGGATTGATTCCATCTCACGCTTGCACTTTTAAGTTATGGAGATAGCTTCTTTCTTAAACTCATGAACCAACCTCTCCTAGCTTCAAATTTTTCTTCTGCAGCTTCCTCCCCTCTGCCAGGCTTCACCAGAATGGAATATAGTTAGGACCTTGTTCTGCATGAGGCTTTGGCTTATGGGGATGTTGGTGTCTATGTCTAGTTTGATCTTCTCTCCAGACCAAACTTTTCCTGCATCAGCAGTCAAGGCTGTTTCTCTTTCTTTATCACTGTGTGTTCACTGGACGTAACACTTTCAATTTCGCTTCAAGAACTTTTCCTTTGCATTTTTAACTTGGCTGTTTAGTGTAAGAGGTCTAGCTTTGGCCTATCTTGGCTTTTGAGTATGCTTCCCCACTAAACTTAATTATTTCTAGCCTTTTCTTCTTTTTTTTTGAGACAGAGTCTCACCTCTGTTGGCCCAGACTAGAGTGGCCGTGGCGTCAGCCTAGCTCACAGCAACCTCAATCTCCTGGGTTCAAGCAATCTTACTGCCACAGCCTCCCCGGATGTACCTGGAATACAGGCATGCCACCATCGCCCGGTAATTTTTTTCTACATATTTTTAGTTGGGCAATTAATTCTTCTATTTTATTAGAGACGGGGTCTCGATCTTGCTCAGGCTGGCTTCAAACTCCTGACCTTGAGAGAATCTGCCCGCCGTCGCCTCCCAGAGTGCTAGGATTACAGGCGTGAGCCACCACGCCCGGCCTTATTTCTAGCTTTTGAGTTAAAGTGAAAGACATGCAACTCTTCCTTTTCATTCTGAACACTTAGGAGTCATTTTAAGGATTATAATTGGCCTAATTTAATAACGCTGTGTCTCAGGTTATAGAAGAGGGAGAGAGGTCAGTGGAGAAGTGAGACACATACAACATTGATCAATTAAGTTCACTGTCTTATAGTATTATGTTATGCTACTAATATCAAAATCCTAATCATAGATCACCATATATAAAAAAAATGAAAAAATTTGAAATATTGTGACAATTGCCAAAACGTGACACAGAGAAAACAAAGTGAGCACATGCTATAGGAAAAATGGTACCAACAGACTTGCTCAATGCAGGGGTGCCACAAACCTTCAAATAAAAACATATTGTCTGTGAACGCAATAAAGCAAAGTGGCTTGAAATAAAATGAGGGATGCCTGTATTTTGTAAGGATTAATATCTAGGATATATTAAACTCCTACAGCTTCAGCAGCAAAAAGACAAACATATGCAATTAAAAATGGGCAAAGAAGTTGATAGACATTTTTCCAAGGAAGATATGCAATGGCCAATAAGCACATGAACAATACTCGAATGTCACTATCATCAGGGAAATGCAAATCAAAACCACAATGAGATATTCCACTTCACAGCCATTAGAATGGTTGTTATTATAAAACCCAGAAAACAAAAGTGTGTGGTGAGGAATGTGGAGCAATGGACCCCTTGGCGCAATTGCTGGTGGGAATGTAAAATCATTCAGAGCTGGGAAGAAACAATATGGTGATTTCCTCAAAAACATAAACATAGAATTACCATAGGATCCAGCAATTTTACTTCCAGTATAATTCCTAGCAAGATGAAGAGCGCACTCAAACAATAATTTGTACACCAATATTTATAAACGGCATTATTCACAATAGCGCAAGGAGTGGACCAACTCAAGTATCCATCAATGGGTGAAAAATAAATAAAAGTGGCATATACATACAAGCTGAATATTATCAAGCATAAAAAAAATGAAATTCTGTTACATCCCTACAACATTGAATCGAGCCAGACATTATGCTAAATGATATAAGGGAAAAAAAAAAAAAAAGTGATGATTTGGTTTTGATTCCAATTATAAGCAGGTATCTGCAATAGTCAAATTCATAGGGAGACAAAGCAGCATAGTGGTTCACCAGTGCTAGGGTGAGGTGAATAGGGAGTTATTGTTTCAAGGGTAACACGAGTCTTCATTTGAATGATGAAAAGAGTTCTGGAGATGGATGTAGGTATATGACTGTACAGGTGAATGTGATGGTGAATCATTTGAATGCCACTTACAAATGGTTAACATGGTAAGTGTTATGTTACATACTTTCTGGCAACCAATTACAAAAGAATGAAACAGAGAAAAAAGAATCCGCGTCAAAGTCCTAATGAACTTAATAGGAATCATGGGCCAGAATACACCCTGAAGGGGAACAATGTTGCTCTCCAAAAGCCACGCAAGAATTGATGCCAGAGAGATGACAACTGGAACATGCGTGGTTCAGATAGATATAGCTTATGTC